CAGCTTATTGTTGGGCTAAAAAAAGAGTAAATTCTGATTTTTTTCTTTTTTATTGTAACAAAATGTAGTCAACGGTTCCGTTAAGCAGCATTAAAGTGTGGCCTTAGAGCTTCTGCGGTAATGCGGTTGTCAAATAGGAATTGATACCTCTCATTGACCAATTAAAATGGAGTAATTTCAAACTTCATGGTAATTTGAGTTTAACTGACTGTACTGGTAAATTAAGGTATGGTCCAATAGCATCATACAATCAGATTTAGCATGTGTCCTGACAGGCTCTTAAAAAAAGCCAGACCAAGTACATATCAGGTCTGGTTACTACTAACACCTTGTCAATATTTTTTAATATCATTACAGAAATAAATCAGTGGAATGGAGTTGTGTGAAGTGTACCATTTATCATATGGTCAGGTAGAGGGATTTACTGGACATTAAATCCTGCATCCTATTTATCAACTTCAAAATGGACGTGCAGCAAATATGGACGTGCAGCAAATATGGAGTGCATCCACTGGGATACAGAAAATTTGTATGCAGTTTGGTCATTAATTACATTACACAGTCGAATGGTTCAAGAACTCCATATCTCTTTTCAACCAACAGCCTCGGAGAATGTGCACTCTTACGTTACTTGTGTACCGAAATGTCTTAAATTCTAGACATTTATCTGAGATGCCCATTTTGGAGCATGGGATCTCCATTTTTTAACCTGGGACCCTCACAATTGAAGACTTTGAGGCACCTGGACACCCAAAATATATAACCCAGGTAGATCCCTGCTAGTGTGAATTCAACAATGCATCACAGTGAATCATGACACCACTAGTCATTGTCATACCACATCCACATCCTGGTGGAGAGTTAATTAAACAGCAAGACAGCATGTGCCATATGTACACTGCATACTGCACTAATAAATAATACATAATAAATCATCATGCCATTGTCATTTATCAAATGATGAGGAATTGGCAAGGCTGAACCTGCAGTGGTCATTGTGTATATTTTCTGCAATCAATATCATGTTTGTTTGTTTGTTGTTCAATGCCGCACTCAGCAATATTCCAGTTATATGACGACGGTCTGTAAATAATCGAGCGGACCAGACTGACATGATGAGCATCAATCATGGCAATTGAGACACGCATGCATGAACCAAGTCAGCGAGCTTCACCATGCGAACCCGTTACTCGCTTCTTACGACAAACATAGTCGTCTTTTACGGCAAGCATCGGTTGCTGAAGACCTATTCTATCCTGTCATCCTGTTTTTAACATTCAGCCATGCCTGGATAGTTTCAGATGATGGGAGAAGATGTTGGAAGATGAGGAGTTACTTCTTTTTCTGAGTTGCAGTCATGATTACACAGTCAATTTCTTACAAGTTTCCTGTAAACAATCAAAATACTAATTGAATACTTGGGTTTTAGAAAATAATAGTCTCAGGCGATGCCCGCATTATCATAAAGTCTGCCACATGTTTCGTTTTTATTTCTATTTTCTCAAAAAAACTTAAAAATCCTAATACTTAAAAACAATGCGATCCAATATAGCACACAGTTACTTCCCTTTACATGCGCACTGCTTTACTGCGCATCTCGTGTTATGGTCATGGATAAACGTTTCGTTATTTGGGTATTTTATCCAGTGATTGGTTTTGATTGGGTATCCACAATTTTAGAGGGTACTAAATTGTTTTTTACCACCTGTTTCTTGACATTTGGATGTTTTAACCCATTTCATAACAATCCTTCTAAATCATTTAAGACAAGATAAGCTTTTTTACCAGGGGGTTAATTTTGATTGGGGATCCACATTTTTTAGAGGGTAATCAAATTTATTGACATTTGGGTATTTGAACTTAAAAACATGTTTTGTAACAATCCATGTAAATCATTTAAAACTACATAAATTGTAGTATATTTGTCTGCGTCTGTTTGCAGCTCCCTCTTCGGGAAGCCATTTTTGTTGTTGCAAAACCTAGCATTGTAAGAAAGGGGCTATAACCCCAATCAGCAACTGTTTAAGATATACTGACTAGACACAATGTGCTTTTTAATTGCAATCATCAGTATTCAAGTTTGTTTACACAGAAGTTTTCCGAATGTAACTGTCGGTAAGTGAATTTGGCGATCGGCTAATACACAATCATTTTATCTAACAGTTTTCAAATATGCAATCGTTTTTTCTAAAAGTTGTAAATATTCTCATTAGTTTCATTTCAATAGCATATTTATAGTTTTTGTTGCGAATTTGATATGCTAGGATTTGATTTGTCTGGGTATTTCAGATTTAATTTATGCTTTGTTTGTTTGTTTGTTTGTTGCTTTACACTGCACTCAGCAATATTCCAGCTATATGATAGCAGTCATATTTTATCTCGAGCTGTGTTTGCACTTCTGAAAGGGCTTTGTTCCCTATATAAGAGGTTTGCAGTGGCCAGAGACAACATCCAATGCATTTGATTAAGTATTATTAAAAAACTCAATAGTTATTTTACTTTTGTATGACCTTTTTTGTTGCATGACTTTTAATATTTCTGATCTATCAAAGATAAATCAGTCAGGGACATAAAACGAACTACAAGGATTTTATTTTATTTACCGATTGTGGCATTAGGATGTGGTTGGTTGAATCTGTGAAGTGACAATAAAAAGAGTGGTGCCCTATCATGCAAACATTAATATTGATAAACAGGTCAGTCTGTCATTAAAAATCTGGAAAGGAAGTAAGTACACATGCATTGGCGAGGAGGCAATGTTTCTCTTCTCACACTTTTGTTCAATGCAGATACATGTATAAGCACCTTTATCAAGCTGATATAAAAAGTGTGTTGTACAACTAGATTTGAAACGTTCAAAAGTGTACATAAAGAAGCTGCTATCCCTACCACTGCTTGTTATTCTGTGATAACCCATTCAGTTAAAGACCTCTTGCAAAGCTGATGACACCTAAGTATTTACTCCCTACCTCATAATGAGTTTTGTAGTTGCATCTTCTTGCACGCAGGTTCTTTGGTTTGTGAAATATAAAAATGTAAAAAAATATTTACTTCTTTCTGTCAGCCTTTCGATACAAAGTAATAAAGGCTGTTCTAAACAGCCAGGCAAAAGAAAGTATACACTAGAAAATTTAATTTGACCAAAAACTTAGAAACGTTATCAAAATGTTACTAGGCTGTAAACAGTTGCCGGAACACTTCAAACTTAAGGTCCAAAACACCTGTATCAAATACATCACCATCGGAAAACCATTTCTTGTTTGTTTCTTTTTTTGCCACCATCAAACATGAATGTATTCTTTTATTTATATAAAAAAGTCAATATTCAGCCATGTAATGATGGGGAAAGAGATATAACTGCTCAGACTTCACGGTCACATTAATGAGAACATCCAAGACTTGTTTTTTCCCCGTTACAATGTATTGTTGTTTAATGTCCAGTTCGTGCCTGACAAAGTTGGGAGTAATAAAGAAACGCCCAAGTTGAGGCAGCACATGTTGCAGCGCCGACTCCCACAGGGCCGGCCAGGAGGACAATGAGTAAACACTCAATATACAATAGCAGCATATCCACATCAATACACATCCAGGCATGACTGTGAGCTGGTGATATCACCACTCTGGCCCGCCCACTGATGACCGTCGATTAAATAAAGCAGAAGCATGTTTGGAGAGCCAGTTTACTGTATTGCGTCAGTGGCACCTTGGCCTCTCAGGAAATGCAACCCGGGGGTGGGGGACCAAAGCTCACCTGGTCGACTGACAGACTGACTGGCTGATGCTGCACTGTGTCAGTCTATCAGCTATATGCAGCAACAGTTTACTGTCAGCTACTATAGAGCACCTGCCCAGCTGTGTCCCACCAGCCTGGTATATTAACCATATAAAATTATGCAAACTAGACGCCTGCCCTCTAACCTGTGGCTAGTAAAATTTTGGTTTGACTAAAGATTCTGAAATGTCCCAAACACGTCTGGCTACTGAAATTTTAAGAGTTTTTTTATGTACACCTTACAGTTGATTAAAAAAAAACTTCCTCCCATTTCTGTTGATCAATATGATCATCAAAAATATAAAACTACAATTAATATCCATAATGAACCGTTGTTGCAAACTACAATTAATATCCATAATGAACCGTTGTTGCAAACTACAATTAATATCCATAATGAACTGTTGTTGCAAACAACGATTCATTAAGGATATTAATGGTAGTTTGCAACAACAGTTCATTGTAGATATTAGTTGTAGTTTTATATAATAGAGTTAGATTCATTAGAGTCATCTCCCTTCATCTTGTATGAGTGACTTTGGACACCGTAGTACTGTCTATAACAAACATGTTTTGATTCGTTGTAATTCGTAGTTTACCCAGTCACAAGCTGTGTTACTTAACAAACTTAGACTACCCATGTAAGACTTTGGGGGATGAAAATATACAGTTGCATATTTATGCTAGTGAAATATGAAACAGACTAGTATACAGCTTTAAAGGCTAGCCAGCCCCACTGGCCTGCAATATTTTGTGACTATTTTACACGTTAACAAAGGATTGGTGAAACATTTCACAAAATGTCAAACACCTCAGACAATGTTAGATATGGATGAGTAATGCATGTACCATAAGGCCACAATGAAATAATTATTACATTTTCTTACAAATTTTTCAAAAATGTTTTGGAGGCATTGTATTATTTATATTTTATTTCTTTAAAGTAGGTGAGTGAGGGTGTATGGTTTTAGGCCACTTTTAGCAATATTCCAGCAATATAACAGGGGGGTGGGAGACACCAGAAATGGGCTTCACACGAACCCAGGACTTCGGCATGATGAGCGAACGCTTTAACCACTAGACTACCCCACCTCCCCTTTAAACAAAGTATTTAGGCATTTGTGTACAGTAGCTGTCTGCATTCTGAATCTTGGTTTTGGTCCAATCAGTCAAATGTGTAAGACAAAAAATGAAAAAAGCATCGTCTGACTAAGATTGCTGCATCTACCTTGTCATGGAGATCCCTGGCTCTCTGGACCCTGTGTTTGGCTGGTGTGGACTTGTTCAGGTTCTTCTCCACTTGCAGCATGTTGGCGGTCCTTCCCACCGGGATGGTCAGGAGACTCATGCGCCCCGCCTTGGACAGTCTCCCCACATCATCCAGACTCAGGGCTGGCTGGTTGTTCACCTCCAGAATTACATCACCTGAAGGTCACAGAGTGAGTGAGTGAGTGAGTGAGTGAGTGAGTGAGTGAGTGAGTGAGTGAGTGAGTGAGTGAGTGAGTGAGTGAGTGAGTGAGTGAGTGAGTGAAATGGGTTTCACGCTGTCATAATCCATTCACAATTATATTTACCTTGTGTGACAAGTATGGGTACTATAAGGATCAAAGGATGCTGAATCTAATTACTAAACGGGCATCCTAAGTGAATACATTGTATAAAAATGTTGGCATTGTTCTGTTCTTGCATTTTCTTCTCAACTTGATATTTCAGACAATGTCACTGATCTGACGCTTATATCTGTCTGGGTAGTCATATTGATGTTATCATGACTATTGGGGCAGAAATTATGGATGAAATAATTCAGCTATATGACGGCGGTCTATAAATAATCGAGTCTGGACCAGACAATCCAGTGATTGATATCATGAGCATCGATCAACACAATTTGGATCGATGACGTTTGTAGAGTAATAGTGTGAATATTTTATTTTTCAAACTTAAAAGGAAATCAAAAGCCAGTTGGTCTGGCATCAATTCAACTTCAAATTTTCTCACAATTTACAATGACTAATCAGGAAAAAACAATTGTATTTTGAATGATGGAAACACATGATTTTGATATATCTGTATCAAATCCGCCACTTGTCCCTGTTGCTCTGAGCAGTGCCAGGAGAGATGTGATCCTTGCCTTGCCAGGAACATTAATATTGCAGGCCCAATTGTAAATAAATCATGCATGCTGGTTGTGCTGCAGTAATTAGGCAGATTGGGGCTGTTAAGTCAGCACTGGCCATGTGCCTTGATGACCACACACTCAATGTTCCTGATGTGCTCACTGTTAGGATTGGAGCGCCATTGATAACTATGGGCAAATTGACAAGAGAGGACAATTCAGGAATTGAAACTTCTAACTGTGTGCATGTGTGCGTGCGTGCGTGCATGTGTGCGTGCGTGCGTGCATGCAAATTTTATAAGAAAAAAAATGTCTTGTCCCCGAAAATTACTGAAGACAATAATTATGCTTCAGACTGTTGACCAAAAAAGACTTGTCTGTCGCAAACATTACATTGTTGCAAGGTGTTTTTTCTAAAAACAAAATTCAGGCCTTAGAGTTTTAAATAAAAAATATATACATTGTATCTGGTTTTGTTGTTATAAATGAAAAAATATCTAATCTTGATGCAAAATCCAAGCCCCTCCCCCCCGAATATCAAATAATAGGTGCCTAAAGTATGCCAGTTACCTTAGTGCTACGATTGCTTTGTCGAACTGATTTTAGTTTCAATCCAAGGAATAATCGTGAAATCTGTGATGGATTATTTTCCAATCATACCCTTTCTTTTTTTTTGAATTTCTTCGGATGATAAAATTTATTCCACCATGAATTTAGAACATACATGATTCTGATTGGTCAATCTGAGGTTTCAAATAACACAAAATACACCTCTGACTGAAACATCTGTTTTGACTCAGCATTCGGTTGCAAAATCAATTTAGCTCATTTAAATCTGAAGTAACCTAGCTCTACATTGAAAACACAGCATGGCTGTTTCCTAAATATAACATGTAAACCATCTGGCATGTGATAACAAGAGTGGTTCAAGGCTTCTAGAAGAGGTGGGCTTGCTGCAGAGTTATTTCCCTCATTACCTGTAGGATAAGAAAGCTTTAAATGTATGATTTTTCCTATTTTATTCACGAATGTTTGTGGACAGAGTAAGAAAGAAGATTGGTTTTCCAATATCAAAGTTCAGTGGGATCTATATCACAGATTACAATAATAAACATAATAGAAATTTTGAAATATGATGGGGCGGTCGGATAGCCTAGTGGTTAAAGCGTTTGCTCGTCAAGCCTAAGACCCGGGTTCGATTCCCGACATGGGTACAATGTGTGAAGCCCATTTCTTGTGTCTCCTGCCGTGATATTGCTGGAATATTGCTAAAAGCAACGTAAACCCATACTCACTCATTCACTTAGAAATATGACTATGCATGTTTAAACAGGGACTATATTCTCCGCAGCCATAAGCCCATTTTTATCCACTGCAATTAGTGCCAGGTGTGTATGGAGACAATGCTTCTTTGAGATCAGGGTCATGATTAACTGCAAATCATTGCTAATTGATATACTTAATAAAATCTGAGTTATAAAACAAAGTAGGTTTTAAACATGATAAATATTTCCAACAAATGCCTGATTATAGCCTGATAATGCCTGTGAATTATAGTGTTGGGAGATGATTGTGAAATCATGCATTATGACTGATGACTGGATCATCCAAACCGATAGATCATCAAAATTTATCGGTTCGTGTCAGTTTGCTGTTTTTGTTAAGTTCAGTACAATAAGATTGCAACCGACAAAAACATACACAAATTCAGCAGTTTATTTTTAAAAAAAATCATGATGGCTTCACGCTTTCTCCAAGTCATAACTAGTCCGATCAATTTCCGATTATTTCAATTTAAAGGAACACACCTAGTCAATTAACCTAAGCCTGTTTTCTTCTTCTAATGACAACCATCGCCTTGCTTCCAACAGAAAGAGTATGACATCAGGAACATAGGCCTGATAATCCTTCTTATACACTGGCAGTGGGTATCCACAAGTTTTAGAAGGTATTCAAATTTTCAGTACACAACTGTTTCTTGACATTTGGGTATTATAACTTGAAAACCTGTTTCGTAACAATCCCTGTAAATCATTTAAAACTATGTGAATAGTAGTATGCCTGTCTGCGTCTGCTTGCAGCTCCCTCTCTGCAGTGCTCCAGATAACTTTTTGAGCAATAGAGTTTTTACTCAAAGATTTCTATTTTAATTGGGTTATTACAGTTTTCATTGGGTAACCAATATTTTTCCACTCATCTATTCATCACTCTATTGGGTTTTTCCCAAAATGAGTAAGCATTTTGAGATTTAAAAAAAAACAACATAATGTTTTAGATGTATATAACGGTTCTAAATATAGGCTTGACACGGAAAGTAAATTAGCTTGTAATTGTGTTTCGGAGATTAGCTCCGTTGTACACATGCTCAAAAAGCTTCATTGGCTTTGTTTGTCGTCACGATATAGCTGAAATATTGCCGATGTAAGTAAAGCTTTAACTCACTCACTCATTGGCTTTGTACGCATGCTGTTTTTATACATTTGATTTTTTCATTTAATGCATACGTTTATGTAAGCAAATTAATTGAAAGTAATTGGGTTTTGAATATTTTTGGGGGGTATTTTACACAAATACGCTGCTTATCTGTAGCTCTGTCTCTGGGAAGCCATTTTTGTTTGCTAAACCTGACATTGTAAGAAAGACGCTATCACCAATCAGCAACTGTTTAAGATACACTGACTAGACACGATGTGCTTTATCAGTCTTCGAGTTTTTTTGTAGCATAATGTCACTGTCTGTAAGGGAATTTTTCGTGATCAGCTGATCTAATAGTTGTAATATTTGCAATCATTTAATCTAATAGTTGTAATATGCACATTAGTTTTATTTCAATAGCATATTCATAGCCGAATTCGTTGTGTATTTGATACACTAGGATTTATTTTGTCTGCATTTTTCAGTTTATTTAATGTGGTTTTTTTTAACGCAAATACCCAGCTTATCTAGCATGTCCAGAGCTTGGAACTACTGTATTATGTGGCATATTAGTCAAAATGATAAAATACAAGGGGTTAAGAACACGGCTAGATATTTCAACAATACATAGCATGGCAAGTGAAATGTTTTGTGTCCAGTAATGTTTTTTAAGACATAATAATTCCTGGTAAGGCAAAAAAGGAAATGTTTCTCAAGCATTGATGCACCACTTTACATCCTGCATGAGTCATTTGGATATTTTTATCAAATTCCCTGCATCATATAGGGCAGACTTATCTATGCTTGACAAATGACATTGAATGAAAGGGCAGAGTTCAATGTGTTCCCCGTTGTTTTTGTTGGTAATCATGAAAGGAAAAAAATCTCCTTCATCACTTTCTTTCAATAAAATATAAAATAAAGTCCTACCTACCACCTTACTTAATTTGCCTGAGAAACAGTTACTTTCTTTATGCAGGCTAAGTCAGGTCAGTGGGAACAGTGTTTGTGTAGGGGGAAGGGGCTTAGTTAATCAGTCTGTGGAAAAACTTTGGATTCTGAACTCCATGAACTCAGGGCACGAAATTAGAAAAAAAAATTTGTGTGCCCAAGGGCACTGAACCTGTTTTTCAGGTGTGCCATTTTCAGTTGAGGTGTGCCTTGTCTATATTACCCAGTAATTATAACAAATAGTGATTGTCTGCTAGCTTTTTCACAACAATTAACATGAAAAACCTTCTGTTTGAAACGCAAGATCTATGTAATATTTGTGATAGTCTGTCAAATTACGGAAAGATGTGATAACATTCAAGTGTATTTTCTGCAGTCCTGAACATCTTGTCACACATCTGTAAGATACTTTCAATGGAAATCACTGGAAATACTGTCAACTGATTTCAGAACAGGAAGTCGATAGTGGAACATGCAAGTCTTTCATTTCACGGGTTAATTTTGCCAAGACATGAAATACAAATTAACGTAAGTACTTTTAATGAAAATGACCATGAGGCACTGTACATAAAATTCAAGGGTGACATTTTCTATTCTATGTGTGCCTTGGGCACTGCCCCACTAGAGCCCTGGAACTAGTCACCTGACATTATTTTCAGTAGATTTTGTATTAGATTATGGACTTTTATTTGGTGAAGCTTACCAGAACAAAAGTAAACTTTCAAGACCTGTGCTTCGAGATAGCAGCTTGAGCCACAGAAATATATTGTAGGTTTTTCAATTTATTTTATATAGGACAGTCATGTTTGTTTGTTTGTTTATCAGGTAAACAGTGAAGGTGGCAAGTTGGTGATGTGATGATTTATATATGCTTGTTCGTCTGTTGTTTAACGCACACTCGGCAATATTCCTATATGACAGTGGCCTGTAAATAGCCGTGTCAGACTAGACAATCCAGTGATCAGTATTGTGAGTAACAATCTACGCTGTTGGGGTTCATGCATGCAATCAACCACTTCACCGAGCCTGAACCCCTTATCCATTTAAGCTCACCTCATGACCAGCATAGGTTGCTGGAGACCAATTCCAACCTAGAATCCCCACAGAATAATTTCTATACGCACCTATCCTCAGTCCAGCTCTGTAAGCTGGGCTTCCGAAGTCCACGGCTCCCACAACCAGCGGCCGGCCTTCCACAAGAGTAAATCCGTACCCTGTTGCATTGCGGGCAGGAATATCCACTTGACACAAACACGACACAACCTCCACCCCCGGGGGCTGGGCACGGCTTTGTTTGGCGAGTACTCGCAATGATTCTGCAGACAGAGACGTCACATCTCGTCCTTCCAACTGTAGAATCTGGTCTCCGGGCATAAGCCCTGACCGATGAGCAACACTGCCTTTCTCCACATAGATAACATAGCATGGACCACGCCCATATATCTGAAAGCCATATGACAGGGGCCACTTCACTGGCACCCTTAGAGGCATGTTGTTAGTTAAACGAGTCACAAATTACAGTATTTGAGATGGTACTGAGATTGGGTGTACTTCAACGGCAGCAGTATTTCTTATTCCATTCGTTCTTTAGGTATAGTCCATTTTGTGGTCGGCACAAATCTGAAATTTAAGTTCAATAATATTTAAAATAAATTCTTCTTAAAAACAAGTTAAATTTCATACTAAACCAGAGTAAACCTTGATAAATCTGCAGTGAATACAGGGATAGACATGGCCACTAGACCGTTAAGTAGTCCGAGACTAGTGAAAATCTAGGGGGACTATCGTTGTTTTATCCTAAAAATTTACAATTTACATAACCCATAATGAACAATGGCATCTATCCCTGGAATCTGATTAATACTTTTACAATCATGTTTTCCCATAACATATAAGTTTACCACTGTATAAAACACTATGAAACACACAAACAAACATGCAACATTTCTCTTTTACACAAACAGAAGTTCTGCATCTCTTCAAAATTTACCGTTATGATCCTGAACCAACTCAATTAGGTCAAAAGTACAGTCACCTGGCCTTACTCATCGCTCCAGGTGTTCATCCATTATTCACCATCATCACATTAATTTAGACACTCAGCGTTTGATTTGGAATCTCTCCACGCTGGTGGAGTTCATCACAACCATGTTGAGGCAAGAATATACTCCCTTATGCTGAACTCATATTCTCGGAGATATCCGCCACATACTCTGTTATGTGTCTTACACTGACATGCATGATATTTATATACTGAACTATTAGGGTGTGTACTTGTAACAATCAATAAAGCCATTGTGCCAAATGAAGAATATATTATTGAACAGGATAACTGTAATTGTAAAGCATTGTTGGAATATATGCCTGTGTTCCTTCCAAAAAGATATAACTCTACATTCTATCTCTTAACGGCAACAATATTTGTAAATATTCTATGAAAATATTAAAAAACCCTTAAGGTTTTCAATTCGAGAGTATTGACAGAAACACACTCGTATATCAGATGGAGAAAGTCATATCCAGAATATTCTCGATAAATGCATTGATTGTAAAGATCTCATAGCAAACACATTTTACTTTCACTTGAAAACAATCTAATCACGTGATATGTGAAACAGTCAAATTTAGAAAAGTTACCTTTGAAGCTGTTTCCTCGCAGTCAACCACAGTGACACACATTTACCTGTCCAGCACGTCCGATCAAACGATGATGCCTCACCGCTGCATGGTGAATAAATCCCATATCGATCAACAGCAACAAGTTGCGTTCGAAGCTAGCGCGCTGATCAATATTATGTCACGTGACGCCACGTGAGAAGCTGTTGATGTAAACTTCCGGTTTCACACGTGCATAAGAATGGCTGCCGAAATTGTAAACACGCCGAGAGAGCAGCGTTTATTTTGACGATCTGCGGCGTCCTGGCAACGGGAAAGCGCTGGCGCTGTTCTTCAGATGATAGAGCAGAATATGCTGCACGTGGACCCAGGGGTAAAGCTTTCTCTACTTGTTGATCAGGAAGTAAAATAGAGCTTTGGTATCGCCAACTCAAATGTCGCGTGTTGTCGATACGTCGCAGATGTCATTTTTGTGGTGGAAATGAATCTTGTCTTGACATTTGACAAATCGATGTATCATGTCAAAGTCACCTTGTCAAAGATATTTCTCTTCCCAAGGACTTATATTTCGATATAAATTTGTAAGATGACTAGCCAGTTTGAGGTGATACTTTCTAATTCAGACGTCGAACATACTATTGATTCCCAATAATTGAGATAACAGCAATGATATGAGAGAATCATGACGTTAAGTTTGATTCATCCCTGAGTGTTGGCGATTTATGTCCTCATAAAAGAACTCTGGAGGCAACGGTCGGCGAAACTTCAATCATGCCTTCTACACTAATGAAATGGATGCTCTGTTGACAGGCATGGAGTAATGAGACAGCTTCTGTTATTTTAGACATATATCTTGTTATTTTAGACAAATATCTTGTATACATGCTGGCATCTTGCCACTTTTGTATCTCCTTTTAGGGCAGTTTTTAGACGTTTATGATACAGTGAAGATAATGAGGCTAGAATACAAAATAAGAGATGTGCACAAGCTTTGTTAAAGTTTATGAATTTTTTGCCGCCTTGCTATAATAGCAGGAGGTTTGGGGGGCTTGCCTCCAACACAACACCTTGAAGCAAATGCTGTCACAAGTACATGTCAGTTTAAGTTGCCAAAGTTACTAAAGAGTATGTTTTGTTTTTTAAATAATGGAAACATAAATTATAGGGGCACTGATCTACAGCAAGTCCCCGGGACTGGTTGTTGCCTTTGTTATTGTTTTTTTGTCCCCATGAGTACCCGGATGATATAGCAGAAATATAGACTAGTTCGCGACCTGTGTTGCGCCCTTTGTAAGCACATTATTGATTGTGTAAGGGCGTATGGTCACATTGATCAACAAACTGAAATACAGTTTATTATTGAAATAAAAAAGGAAATGTAGGTATCTTTGCATTGGTAATGGTTATGAAGTTTTGATAAGGCACTTCCTTGGTATTGTGTGGTTTTCGTTTACACTATTTTGACTTGCAGTGCAAAATAAATATTTCACCTGAGCATTGCTTATTTTATCGTGTGTATATTTTATAGTCAAAATGTGTAACATTTCCACTTAGGCAGTTTATCAAATGCCTAAATATTCAGTTATTTTACAAATTGACTGAAAAATCTGTCAATTTATGTTATTATGATACCAAATTCTAAACATTTTTATGCTTTAATTTAATCACCCAGTGACTGAAAATGCTTGGCTTAAAAGAAAACGAAATTCAAAGTACATTTCTGTAGTTTGGGCTTCTAATCCTATCATAATTAGTTTACTGTGATGTTTTAAGCCCCTTTGACATGTTTGAACATCTTAAGAATTGTTAGTCAATCTGATAAATAAATGGACAGATGTTTCAGTCAATTTGTAAATTAATGAAATATTTTGATATTTTTATGAATTGCCCAAGTGAATCACATTTTATACATTGACTGTAACATATACATGCCTACAAACGAAAAGGCTTGTGAAAACAATGTCTGTCTTGCATTGAAGAACTTTTCAACGAAAACATAGAGGAACAAGCATGATTCTATTCAATGCAACTGCAAATGAAAGAAAACACAATGCAAATATCAGAATTACAGCCTACCAAAGTTATATGTATAAATTTAGGCAGCTACCTTCTTCAAGGAATGTATCCGTGAATATCCACGTAAAGGAACAATATGCCATACATCTACATGTGTACCAAAGAAACTTATTCGATGTCAATCAATGTATTATCGGCTAATCCTTTGAACAAAGTATGTTGTTTTTACATCAGCCCTTCATGCCCAGATATGGGTGTATTCCATCGGCTTTAGTGAACCTACACATGTAAACACTTACTTCTGACAAATCCACTGTGCAAGATAACAGTGATTAATCAATCAACATATTTTCTGTTGATCCTTTGATGGCTAGGAATGATCCATTGATTTACAACAAAGTAAATCAACTGATCATTCATCTCTTGCTGGGATGCCACGTGCATGTTACATAACACACATTTCACCTCACTCCAAACCTGGATTCAGATTGAATAATTACCCCAGACACAATAAATGCCAAATGGGAACCTTTATCAGGTAATCTAAGTGGTGCTACCACTAATTATACCTGTAATAAACTCATTAACTGAGCATCAAGTGAATGACGACAAATACACAAATGTAGGGTTATACCAGATGACAAAAGTAGTAATGGTATTATCCACACAATCCCTGCAGGGATACCTTTTTTATTATTAAACTATAACCATCAGGGGTATTTCCAAATATCGACATCCGATGAGCTTCCGACGTTCTTTTTGTCTGGGCATATTGTTTAGGCTAAAAAAATGAATTAACATGCGCCCTTTGTCAAAATCTTTCCTGACTATTTCATGTTAAATCTGTAATGTTGTAATCACATCACATTGATTTCTTTCTATCTGCAGGTGACAAAACTGTGATGTAGTGCTTATAACGTCTTCACGCCAGTAAGCCACCGTTGATAGTAGTGCGTGACCTTACCCATCGGCCTTGACCCGACCCGACCTACCGACCTGCGCCATCATGGACTTCATCCTCCTCTTCACCATCTACCTTTCCCTTTTTGGACTGTTTGTTGTCTTCTACTTGTTTGGAGATCACCCGTTGCTGAACAGCGGGGTGGTTGGCAGACTGAAGGAAAACGTCATACAGGTACTGAGTATGCTTGGAAATATTATTATCCCCTGCATAACTCCTAAACCATTCAATATTTTTTCATGGAACTTTGCAGGTTTGTCAGGTACAAGCTGAACTGGTGCCTTTTGCTGTTTAGAAATTTTTATTTTTTACGTTTCCATGGCAACAAGATGGACTGAGGTTCCAAACTCTTCTTTTTTTTTACAATTTCCATGACAAGTTCCACCTCGGTTATAAATGGTTAGGGTTTGTTTAGATTTAATTATGTCATAAACTCTGCAACAGGGGCAGAGGATATAGCCACGTTAGTGGCAAACTCTTGTTAAACTTCTGATGTACCAGGGGGCACGGGTGGCCCAGTCGTCTAAGGCGCCGCGATTCGTTGTGCAGAGTTGCGTCCCTTGGGCACGCCAGAAACTTATGATTGTGGGTTCGAATCCCGGTTCGCCCCAATTATGTTTCTAGGTTTGACGGCACCATACCCGTGCTCGTGGGTTTCACCGAAGTGGTAAACGTCTGAGACCTGCATCACTTTGGGCTTTCCTCCCACATTAAGCTGACACGCTGTGATATGACTGGAATACTGTTAAAAGCGGCGTTAAACCAAACTCACTCACTCACTCACTCTGATGTACCAAGCTACTCCGTGGCATGTTACGAGCATTTCATTGATAGGTCCTATATCGATAACATGGGTTATGTGTGTCAAGACAGGATGTATGAGATCGAAGGTCGAGGGTGTATACACATGTTCGGGTGGTAAAATTCTCCACATCCCACTCCTGTGAGAAATATGTCATTTTGAGTTCCTAAGTTTCAGATTTATTTTTGGTGAAATCTTTTAGCGTTACAATTAGATCTATCTTGTGACTGCCATCATATTTGTGTGGTAACCCGAAGTACAAACAGGGTCAGTTGTCAAGTGACAAGTGACACCACATCAAACATAATAACATGGCTACTATTCGTTACCTCATGTACATCCATACAGGCATGTCGGCCAACTAGTCTGTCTCACAATCCCTGAACCATAACATTTTCCCTTTTGCCCAGTCCTTACTGTAATGCTATAGCCCTAAATGAAGCAAGTCTAGATTTTCTACAGGTACATTGGGGCTCCTTTTCTTTATTTATATGTAGTTGCTTGTTTCTATCAAAATTTTATGAAATTCAGAGACAAAGGGTTAGTCTCGCCAGTCGTCTTGTATAGGTTTTTACAAGATGGAAACTGGCTTGCCAGCTAGAATCTTTAACGAGTAATGACAAGATGATACAAATATACATAAGGGTGACATGTACAATGGTATGAATATAAATTATAAAGAACTACTTGAATAAGTCATAGGTCTCAAGTCACTGTTAAATTGACTTAAATGTACTAAATATGTTGATTTAAACATATTACATTATGAAAAATCAATTGGGTTACAGCGGTTAGGCACTAGTCCTATAGTCCTTGCCAAACTGCCCAATAGTTAAAGTATCATGAAGACGAGTAGAAATTTGCCCTTTTTAAGGGTTTCGCTGTATGTTATCACTATAAGGACTAGTGGATGAAAACTGTTTGTTTCTAACGTTGAATTAGTCTTTTGAATGGCATTTAGAAGTGATACACATTAGGAAGAGAATTTATGGAATTTATTGACATCCATAACTTCTCTTCCTTAAATGGATTTGCCACATATGATACACTTACGAGGCCTTCTATATACATTTCATTACATTATGGTTATGTTCATGTATAACAGAGATTGTACATTTATGAAAAATGATAGTGCATTACAGGGTTTGCCCTAGACATTAAAAATTGGGAGTCATTATGACCCCCAACTTTTCAGATTAGGAGTCATTCATCAATTTTTGGGAGTCATATTAACTAATCTCAGAATCTCGCTATCAGGATGAAAAATTAAGTAAACATAAACAAGGTAAGATTTTAACTTTTTATATTCTTCATTATTTTAACTGTAACATAAATATCTTTGATTCACAAAGTCAAGTATATTGGGCCTAATACTCGATAAATCTTTTTTTACATTATGAATCATAAATAACTTCTATTCTAATCTTTTTGGAAACTGTGAAAAGTGCAACGTAGATCGTGATAGGTACTAGGCAGAGCATGTATACTGTTGTGTTGGTCGTCTACCACCTGCGACTCGACCTTCGTTAACTCTTTCAACACCAGTCAAACAGAAGTGTTTACTGCTGTGACACCGAGTTCCCAGAGACTCTTGTGTGATAGATGAAGCCAACATTTATCAAAGAAAATACCTGCTTGTAAAATATATTTGCCACTACATGTTATACACCATTTGAAAGGTCTGATCCTATGGTTTATAAATATGAAAGTTATGTTTTTCACATTATATAGAATAATGCATTTACAACTTAATTAAGTTCGTTGTAAATAAAAAATGTAAGCTAATACGTTGTTAACATCCAGATTAAGGACCAAGGAAGCGAAAACTTGACGATTTTCGGCAAATATAAGATTTCATAAAATCCACTTACCTATTTCTGTTTTATTTTCATTGTTTATGTAATTGGAAAATCATTTTAAAAAGAATTATACCCATTTCCCGATAACAGCGGCTGTCCGCTCAGTAACAAGAAGAAATACCCCCGTTTTCGAGGCTTCGTATGAATAACACGTTCGTCGAAGAATGGCAAATGACACATCGCTAGAAAGCTTATTCCTTTATCTACACGCTCGTAACATCGGCTGTTTTTTTTCGTAGTTATAACAAGCGATTTCATTGGAATAAAATTGATTTCCAATGACGCTTTCTTTCCGAAATCTGCTACAAGTTTCGCGATTGGTCAATTTTGAGCACGTGACCTAAGGCAGCCAATCAAATTACAGCTGTGATACCAAGCTCGTGTTTGATAAATTTCAGAAGTTGGCGAAAGGTTTTTGTTAAATCGTTATTCTGAACGTTTTAAGCAGGAAATCACGATACATATTAAAAATATGGAACTTCGTGAATGTATCGTGCTAGGTTACGAGCTGTGACAAAGATTTTTCACGCATATATTTTTGCATTAAACATCTTGTCCGAGCCGAGAATTCAAGGCGACGAAAGCCGAGATGTCTTATATTACAGGCGATCGCACAAAAAGATGGAAATAATAACTTAGATGTAAGCTTGATTACTTTTAGATATATTTTTGTTGATTTTATTTATTACTTTGTATAATATATTTAAAGATTTGTTTAACACGCCTTTATTTTGCTCTCTGACATGTTCGATGTGGACCCGTTGTCGAAATGTGTGTCCGAGAATTTTATTTTCAACAACATCGCGGGGAAATAGTGAATATTTTTTTAATTTATCGATAAAAAATTATAAATTGAAATGGAATACGTATTTCAGACATTGTGAAATGTGATAGATTTAATAAATGAATGATATTACAGGTAGGTCCATAAAAATATATACTATTTTAACGTGACTACGGCTTGGCCGGTTAACCCGCTTACGGTGTCTGGGGACTCGAAAACCGGCCTACGGTGTTGAAAGAGTTTACCGCTGATCATCTATAACGCTCATCAATTATTTGGACCCCGAAGGTAGCGTTGTAACGAGGGATCACTGTATTTTCTTTCTGACAAACGGAAAGGTCTCAGTTTACTAATTGTAATGGCTGTTTCATTGCGTCAACACTGACGCAGTAGAAAATATTTTTAACGTATTTTCAATTATTTATGCGTCAAATACGCAGGTTTTCTGCGTCAGGGCGAACCCTGGCATTATATTTATGTACAGTCTAGGGCTGGGACAAGTCCAAATTTACTACCCAGTTACCCGACCCCCTATTACTAGACCCTACCCAGGTACCTGCTGTAAGTATCAAGAGATGGGTACAAAATGTCCGATTGGGAATAGTTTGACTTTCTGTCAAAGTTTAGACACACATATAAAATGATCTGGTCATGCATACACTAAACTTGACGGAAGTTTTATCTTTATTCAAACCTATAGAGGTCAAAAGGAATGGGTGCAGAATCTGAAAGAAATGCTAACGTTAATGACTTGTAGCGTAACCATAGAGTTATAGATAATTTGTGTCATTAAACAATATGTCACATGATAAACAATGGGTCCGGGTAGTCCTGTGGGTACCCGGGTCCTTCTCGGTACCCACCCGACCCGAGTACCTGAGTAACCCGTCCCAGCCCTAGTACAGTCAACACTTATATGTTTGAGTTGGGCGACTCTTCACTTTTTTTTATGATGGAATGTCTCCCTCAACAGTCAAGTGTCAAGAGTTCATGTATTGTGTCAAGTATCCTGTCATGATGTCACTATCAAGATGTGTATTGTATCACAACAAAGTGTATCCTAACAGCCCTAGCAGGGATTCATTGAACAGCTGGCCCGTTGGCTTGTGGCCAGTTAAAATTACAAAGGGCTTGCTGAAACATAAAGTAGATGGCCCATCTTGCTTGTCAAAATTTCACCCCTTCTCTGTGTATGTTTAATATTTTTAACTGGACACTGCATGTGACTCGTGTACTTTGATGAGAAAATATTTAGGGTGGAGATGAGGTCGTGTGAAGATCATCTCGGTAGAATGACATAATCAGCGTCCGTTTTGTACATGTTGTAATGTACAACAATGTGTGTGCAACCACATCTTTATTTGCTCATTAATCACAACAAAACGGGGCAAATGGAAGCCATCATATAAGTGCAGGAAATGACAATTTAGGGGTGAGGAATTCTAAACTTTTCAGAGCCCCCTGGGTAACTCAGTCATGGCCTCAAACATTTAGTTTTGGGCCAGTTAGTTTGTAGAAGGGCCAGTAACTTTTGAAAGGAGCAAACCCTTCTGGTTACATTCAAATTTGTTGTTAAATCTGCCCCTGCCTAGCACTTGGATACCTTTGTAAAGTCTTGTCATGTCATCAGTAATAGCCCCTGGAAAAGAACACAAGAGCACAGTTTAGAATATGTCAGAATAATTAATGTTTCTTTGAAAATGGTTATGAAGAAATGACTTCATACAATTTGTGACCATTATCCTTTGATAAATGAACAAAACATTTAATTGGGCAACTGGTGATAGAATCAGTGTGTGAGGACCTGGGTGTAACTTGATGTAATGTACTGGTGATGTTTGTGTTTCAGACTGTGATGTTCTGCATCCCAAGCTCAGTCCTCCAGATCAGCTCAGACACAGCACACTATCTGTTTAATACAAGGTAGGGACAGTAGTTAATAGGGAGGTGGGTTGGTCTAGTGGTGGAAGCTTTCGCTCATCATCCTAAAGACCCGGGTTCAATTCCCCACATGGGTACAATGTGTGAAGCCCATTTATGGTGTCCCTTGCCGTGATTTTGCTGAAATATTGGCATAAAACCATACTCACTCACTCACAGAAGTTTATAAGACTCAGTTGTCCTGTATTAATTCAGCGTGGGGAAATATACATGAGCCTTGCTGTCTGGAACCTTGCTCTTATCGGATGTCAGGAGTACATTTCTGCTGTAACCATGAATTATGTGATCTCTACACTATAAAGCTGCCAGTTGGTGTTGTCACAGTCTCTATCTCCTACCCATGAAAACTGTACACCGTTAACACCAGTGTAGAAGAAAAATAAGATAATTATGAAGTAAGGAAAGATTATCAGAATGTGTAAAATTGATGCACAGTCACATGATTCAATAATAAATAGATATAAAATATATTCTGCTGACTGAATATGTATGAGTTGGTATCAGAATTTGCATGTAGCATGTGTTTAGTAATGCAAGACATATTTTCAATTGGCTTACAGAATCCACTGACCCTTAAAAATTAAGAGTAAAAACCAACAAACTGAAAGCCCTATTTGTTTGTTCCTCCAAATGCATACTTACATGTTCACAACAGATAAATGTGTAAACAATACGTAAAACTGCAAGATCAACATATGCAGATATATTGCCTGAACCAAAAACAAATCTAAGGCTAAAAAAATAGTATTGGTTTTCAGGCACCGCCCTCATCATTGTAAAGTTCGCCCACACGTTTTGTTTAAAAAAACAAAACCCAAATCCTGAAATATTCCTAGTACAAGGGTAGTCAAATACTGTGTTCCAGTGTTTTACTCACCAAGGAATACATTGATGTAGGGAGGCCCTTTCCCAGGTTGACTGTACACACCTGTTTATTTTGTTACATACTTGTTTGGACAACCAACTCTCTCTCTCCCCCCCCCCCCAAAAAAAAACCATACAAAAAAAACCACCAAAAAAAACCACTCCCAAGCCATTGCCTTTTTTTTTAAGCCTAAAATGTCTATTATTATTATTGTTCCTTCCAAACATGCCAAACATGGCTACTATTCAGGATTGTTTTCCTATGGTGCAAACAATAAAGCAAGTTGGCCCTGAGCTGTTTATTTACTGTCACGCTCCAGGACTGAACATAAGCTAGCTTTGTTCTTCAGATAGTCATCATTCCTAGTGTTGCCGAAATCAGGATACTGCTGTAAAAACATGCTCCACCTCTTCCAGGAACCACATCATGCAGTGTGTGTTTGGTCTGTTGGTTCTTCTCGGCCATGCTATCTGGATGTTTGATCTGCTCCCAGTCTTCTACACCCTGGACCCCGACGCCAACCACATCATCGTTCCCATCTCCATCGCTTTCATCAACCTGGCCTGCTTTCATTACAGCTGCACCACCAGTGCAGGGGAGATAACTCTGACCAACCAGGAAAAGCTGTTTTCTGTGTACAAGCCCGATAAGCTGCTGTACAGATCAGGGGCTGTGTGTTGTACATGTAAACTAGAGAAGCCCCCTCGGTCCAAGCACTGTAGTAAGTGGACTGGGTACCTTAGGGCTACAACTGTCATAAGTCTTTGTCAGAGCTCCAGATAAGCTTTTGGTGTTGTGGGTATTTTACCCATGCATTTTAAGATCATGGGGTATCAGTAATTCTATCTGGGTATTTAAATTTCTGTTACCCACTAGTTTTTACACATGTGGGTATTTAAGTTAAATATTTAAAAAACACTATTCATCTAGTCCCTGCAAACTGATGTCGTGTGGGTTTGAGAGCTTTAAAGGACTCAAAAATACCACGATACTTCCACAACAAAGTGTGATGGGTAATGATTATGATGTAACTGTCATCGTGGAGTTTGGCAAGGTTGACGGAATGCCTGTTTATAATTTCAAAATAAGTTGCTGATTTGCTAATCGAATACGCAGGGTTACTTCACAATATTTTGATGATACGCACAAGTTTTATTTTTGTAGCGTATCTGTAATGTTTGTTGCGTATTTGATACGCTTGGATATTATTTTACTGCATATTTCTGCATTTCTGATGCATATTTTACACAGATACCCAGCTTATCTGGAGCTCTGCTTTTTTAAGGTATGGGAGTAACGACAACCTGAGTGCTAAGATCGCTTTGTACGACGGCACCCTGGAGAATAGTATAATGTGCATGGTTCAAAATTACTTATATTAGAGGACCAATGGCATGGTTCATATCATAGATGCACAGCTCTGGGTGTGGGTCCAATCTTGATTATTTACTGCTGCTGTCATATAGCTGGAGAATTGCTGAGTGCGATATTGATATATAAATATGCCAGTGGTGTAACGATACAGCGATACAGTATGGTATCATGATACGAGGCCCACGATTAGAATACATCGATTTTCAATCCCTGTTTCGCGATACATACCATACAATACATTACAAGGTATATTGGTGTTAAATGCATTAATAATAACAGAAACTGTTCAACAACCAGTTTATGCAGAATAGCTAGTATTTCCCGATTGACTATAAACAACATAACCTTCACAGTGCCTCAAGTCTATATGTGTATGCCTTACATTGTCCCATCTTTGATCTCTGAAATTAAAAAACAAATGACTCGGGGTTGTGATTCTCCTGGAAAAAGAAAGAATATCAACTTATGAAATAAAAGTGTTGTATCGGGATATGTATTGTATCACGACCCCACCGTATCATTACACCTCTAAAATAGACGTAACGGCACAGATCATTTCGTATAGGCACAGTAAGGATATGTTTCTCGTGACTGAACATGCTGAAGGGCACACTGAGAAATCTTATGTTTTCAGTTCAATGTGATGATGTACATCACATGAAGCCAGTGATAATTGTGCTTTAACAATAGGGGGCACAGGTGGCCCAGTCGTCTAAGGCGCCACGATTCGCTGTGCAGAGTTGCGTCCCTTGGGCTCGTCAGAAACCTGTGTTTGTGGGTTCGAATCCCTGATTATGTTTCTAGGTTTGTCAGCACCATACCCGAGCTTGTGGGTTTCACTGAGGTGGTAAACGTCTCAGACCTCCATCACTTCGGGCTTTCCTCCCAAATTAAGCTGACACGCCGCGATATACCTGGAATACTGTTGAAATCGGCGTTACCCACCCACCCACCCACTCACTCACCCACCCACTCACTCACTCACTCACTCACTCACTCACTCACTCACTCACTCACTCACTCACTCACTCATGACAATAGTTATCTGGACAAGCATGTTAAATGAACAAAGGAACAGGCTTAACGTGCCTAGTGCACAGTAAGATGCATAAAATAAACCCTGGATCCAGGGTAGAATAGGTCTTAAGCAATCCATGCGTGTTGTAAAAGGTGACTATGCTTGTCGTAAGCGGTGACTGACGGGATCGGGTGGTCAGACTCGCTGACTTGGTTGTGTGTCATCATGTTTCAGTTGCGTGGATCGTTGGAATTAGACAGACTTTTCTTTAGGATAAATAGTTACTAATAGCTGTGTGATTCTGTGAATATCATATGTTAGGAATAAAAATTGTATTACTTGAGCCATTGGCTGGTGTAATACATCATGACACATTTTGTATTTCTAATACATGATATTTTACCACATGAGGGTAATGATCTTATCATATTATGTCATTCTTAAAATAATTGATGTTTAGCACATATTTTTTCTCCGTGAAGTGTTTGAGTTAACCACCACATTCTGCTGAATGATGTGCAGTCATATTTGTCGTCATAAAGTATTTTCCTTCATTAGGATGATTTGTTGAGTGAGTGACTGAGTATGGTTTTATGCCGCTTTTAGCGGGGGACCAGAAATGGGCTTCACACATTGTATCCATGCCGGTGAGTCGAACCCTGGTCTTCAGCGTAATGAGTGAACGCTTTAACCACTGGGCTACCAAACCACCCCACGATGATTTGTTGATGTTTTGTTCTGTTTGTGTCTCCTGTCTGATGTGTACACAAACTACATGTGTTTCCTTGCAGGTATCTGTGACAAGTGTGTGCACCGCTTCGACCACCACTGCGTGTGGACCAACAACTGTGTCGGGGCAGCCAATGTCCGCTTCTTCAACTCCTTCCTCGTCTCCCTTGTGGTCATGTGCCTCAACGGGGCCTATATGTGTTTCCGGGCCCTGTACCTCATCGTCATTCGCATGAAGCTGCTGCAGACATCGTACGTGGACATGAGGACGGGCGAGGTGAAGCCCATCTCATTAGCAGTCTTGTGTCAGGTACGTTTTAACTTCTTTAACATGATTAACGTGTGATGAATGTTCCCCAAATTGTTAAAATATTGAACTGAATGTTTGAATTTAAGCTCTCTATTTTTATACAAGAATATCTCTAATATGCCTTCACTTAAAAATGGCATTAGTAAACTTTAAATTGTATTTCAGCACCTGTTTTTCTCTGAATCTCTGTTTCAGCACCTGTTCATGAAGCAGTCCTGTTTTTAGCACCTGTTCATGCAGTATCCCTCTGTGTTTCAGCACCTGTTCATGCAGCAGTCTCTCTGTTTCAGCACCTGTTCATGCAGTATCCCTCTGTGTTTCAGCACCTGTTCATGCAGTATCCCTCTGTGTTTCAGCACCTGTTCATGCAGTATCCCTGTGTTTCAGCACCTGTTCATGCAGTATCCCTCTGTGTTTCAGCACCTGTTCATGCAGCAGTCCTGTTTCAGCAAATGTTCATGCAGTATCCCTCTATTTCAGTGCCTGTTCATGCAGTATCCTTCTGTGTTTCAGCACCTGTTCATGCAGCAGTCTCTCTGTTTCAGCACCTGTTCATGCAGTATCCCTCTGTGTTTCAGCACCTGTTCATGCAGTATCCCTGTTTCAGCACCTGTTCATGTAGCATCCCTCTGTGTTTCAGCACCTGTTCATGCAGTATCCCTCTGTTTCAGCGCCTGTTCATGCAGTATCCCTCTGTGTTTCAGCACCTGTTCATGCAGCATCCCTCTGTGTTTCAGCACCTGTTCATGCAGCAGTCTCTCTGTTTCAGCACCTGTTCATGCAGTATCCCTCTATTTAAGCACCTGTTCATGCAGTATCCCTCTGTGTTTCAGCACCTGTTCATGCAGTATCCCTCTGTGTTTCAGCACCTGTTCATTCAGTATCCCTGTTTCAGCACCTGTTCATGCAGTATCCCTCTGTGTTTAAGCACCTGTTCATGCAGCAGTCTCTCTGTTTCAGCACCTGTTCATGCAGTATCCCTCTGTTTCAGCACCTGTTCATGCAGTATCCCTCTGTGTTTCAGCACCTGTTCATGCAGCAGTCTCTGTGTTTCAGCACCTGTTCATGCAGTATCCCTCTGTGTTTCAGCACCTGTTCATGCAGTATCCCTCTGTGTTTAAGCACCTGTTCATGCAGTATCTCTCTGTGTTTAAGCACCTGTTCATGCAGCAGTCTCACTGTTTCAGCACCTGTTCATGCAGCAGTCTCTCTGTTTCAGCACCTGTTCATGCAGTATCCCTCTGTGTTTAAGCACCTGTTCATGCAGCAGTCTCTCTGTTTCAGCACCTGTTCATGCAGCAGTCTCTGTTTCAGCACCTGTTCATGCAGTATCTCTCTGTGTTTAAGCACCTGTTCATGCAGCAATCTCTGTTTCAGCACCTGTTCATGCAGTATCCCTCTGTGTCAGCACCTGTTCATGCAGCATCCCTCTGTGTCAGCACCTGTTCATGCTGTATCCCTCTGTTTCAGCACCTGTTCATGCAGTATCCCTCTGTGTTTCAGCACCTGTTCATGCAGCATCCCTCTGTGTTTCAGCACCTGTTCATGCAGCATCCCTCTGTTTCAGCACCTGTTCATGCAGCATCCCTCTGTGTTTAAGCACCTGTTCATGCAGCAGTCCTCTGTTTCAGCACCTGTTCATGCAGTATCCCTCTGTTTAAGCACCTGTTCATGCAGCAATCTCTGTTTCAGCACCTGTTCATGCAGCATCCCTCTGTTTCAGCACCTGTTCATGCAGTATCCCTCTGTGTTTAAGCACCTGTTCATGCAGCAGTCCTCTGTTTCAGCACCTGTTCATGCAGTATCCCTCTGTTTCAGCACCTGTTCATGCAGCATCCCTCTGTTTCAGCACCTGTTCATGCAGCATCCCTCTGTTTCAGCACCTGTTCATGCAGCATCCCTCTGTTTCAGCACCTGTTCATGCAGTATCCCTCTGTGTTTCAGCACCTGTTCATGCAGCATCCCTCTGTTTCAGCACCTGTTCATGCAGTATCCCTCTGTTTCAGCACCTGTTCATGCAGTATCCCTCTGTTTCAGCACCTGTTCATGCAGTATCCCTCTGTTTAAGCACCTGTTCATGCAGCATCCCTCTGTTTCAGCACCTGTTCATGCAGTATCCCTCTGTTTCAGCACCTGTTCATGCAGCATCCCCGCTGTGTGTTCCTGGCAGCATCCCTGTCTGTGCTCATCGTGCTCCTGGGCACATTCATGGGCTATCATCTCTACCTAGTGGTCACCAACCAAACCACCAATGAACGATACAAAGTGTCATATCTGGCTGAGAGGGAATACATTGAAACTGGAGATGCTCAACGGAGAAAGAAACTCCTGGCTCATAGACCCTATGATAAAGGCCTACTGCAAAATATTTCCGAAGTCTTATTCCCTTGGAGTGTCATCAAGTCAGCGCTGAAAGCCAAAGGGAGATAACTCTTTACATTCCTATATCCATCACTCAGGATCCTTTCAAGGCAGTTTATCTGAATGCAAGATAACCCAGATGTGTATGGTCCATGCCAGGTTTTCATGTGTATACATACATGCTGAATGTTATAGGGTCTGTAGTATTTTGTTTACACTTAAATTTGACTTATTGCTAACAGTATTAATCTAGACGCCAAACTGATTGTAATAATACTTGCTTTGAAGGAGTGCTTGAATTAAATCATGAGGTAAATGACCATATCTCAAGTATTCTCATGGTCGCATCTAGTATAAGCTTGTGTCTCTTGTTATAGAAATGCATTTGTAGTTATTCCATAACAGGAACACTCAAAAGATAGTCATGACCGTTATGAAGTATATAAAAGTAATTAAGCTGTGATTTCAGCGTTAAAAACTAACAGTCTTAGTCCACTAGTCCTGATATTGATAACATATATAGCAAACCCATTTGAAAAGGGCAAATTGCTACTAGTCCTTATGATACCTTAACTACTGGGGAGTTCGGCAAGGACTACAGGGTGCCGTTGTACAAAACAACCTCAGCGCTGCGACTGTCGTAAGTCTATGTTAAGGTATGGAGTTACGATCACCTTAGCGCTAAGATCGCTTTGTACAACGGCACCCAGGACTAGTGCCAATTTCTAACTCTGGATTTAGCTAGAAACAAATCACATGCAAATGGCATTAGGAAACTTGAGAAATCAGGATTTTAGCAATACAGTGTCCTAAAGTGTCGATTGTATGATTCAGACTACATCATGAGCATCTGTTCATGAATCACACCTTCCATCTTATGTACTGATACTCCTTCTTAGATCTGTACTAACATGCTTCGGAGGGGAGATGATGACAAGCCGTACATGAGGATGCTCATGATGTGGGTATCCTTGAGTTTACAAACTGTAATATGTAGATAATTTATATTGTAGTATATAATCTATATCATGTATATATTTTCTTTAATGCCTTACTTTTCACCATGGTACTTTTCATCCTTCATGTTGATGTTGATGATGATGATGATGATGTCATTTTTCATTTTTTGTGATAGTTATGTTACAAATTGTGTTGAATTTATTCGTAACCAGTAGCCAAATTCCAGTTGTTAGAGCCTTACGCACATCTTTGTACCAAAGCTACGTGATATTTTTGTACCAGTTCGTGTAGTTATTGATAACAATACCAAAAACAATAACTTTTTAACTGTGGTTGTATTGTGTTAGGTGAACTACAAAGCCTTGTTTGTGAAATTCCTTACAAGAGATCTCCTAAATTGATTTGACAGTGGAGCATGGGTAAGAATAGCTTCCAAGCAGCATGAGTGAGGTGAGTGAATTGCATCGGATGGTTAGACTCGGCGTCATGTTATTTCATGTCGTCATGTCCTGACCGGCAGTTGCTCAGTGTCTTCAGTCACTGGTGTGTCTCATCCAGTGTTCAGTACTTACAGGACTTCTTGCAACATAATGGAGAGTTCAGGAACATTCTTTCACTCTCTCCGAGATATGCTCTGGGAATGTGTTTGTCTCATGAAATGAGGCTTTAATATTCAAGTCTTTGAAGACGACATCACACGTGTACAGTCTCTATTTATATTTGCAACCCAGTTGAGCACAGCCTTTCTCTCAGGCTCTGTTGACACTAATAATCACACATTTCATAGTGTGATGCCAGTATTAATAGAGCTTTAAAAGATGTTTGCAGTGTAGGATCAAACATAGACTGTCTTCATTTCAAGTCATGTAACCACCGACCTACCCTGCCGTCCATCTTCCATTACGTTTAGATGGAGTTTGTGAGATTTGGAAGAGTTGAGTTATTTCAAGATGCATCATCTATACTTGGTCTGGCTTTTATACACTACATTCCTCCATCTCATGAATACAATCGTTCGCATTACATATCTATTTTGGTCAGCTAATGAAATCGGGTAGAAGGCAAGTGAGGTGTACTCTACTTTTGTGGACCCTATTTTCACCGGACATTGATTCATTGTGTATCGCTGCATTGAATATTTCAATTATATGAGGGATGTGTGTATAATGATCAGGTGTGGATCAGACAAACCAGTGATTGATATTATGAACAACATCCTATAGGGCTGAGACGAGTCCAGTCCTGGGTACCCACTACCTTATTACCTGACCCTACCAGGGTACCCACTGTAGGTCTCAAGAGATAGGTACAAGATGTCCGATTGGGACTTATTTTACCATGACCCTGGCAAAATGTATTTAGATACATGTATTAAACGATCTGGTCATGCATACACTGAAGTTGACTGAAGTATTATCTTTATTCAACCATATTAAAAGTCAGAAGGAATGGTGCATGGTCGGAAAGAAATGCGAAAATTAGTGACTTGTAGTGTAACTATAGAGTTATAGATAAATGTTGTCAATAAACAATATTTCATGTGACTAACCACGGGTCAGGATAGACCTGTGGGTACCCGGGTCCTTCTCAGTACCCACCTGACTGGGGTACCCAAGTTACCCATCCCAGCCCTAACATCCCTATGCGGTTGGGTTACGATGACATGCAATCAATCTGTGTCTGTGGTTGATAAGGGAAACATTGCTGTTTATTCACAGTACACTAAGCACTCATTTGTCAGTGCTCTCGTTGGCATCGTGGACACATCTTCATGGATAATGGAGGAATGTACAGTATACGAGGCTGTGAAGTATTGATGATGTACGAACTAGATGGTGTATGTGCTTTTATACCTTTATATGCTGTGGATGTCAATATTAGTGTAGTACAGTCTGAAACACAGGTTAGACAAGCAATGAAAGTGTGTTGTGCCGTCATTGTATTGTGATCTGTTGCTACCCTCCCTCCGTGTAAACTGAAGTGGAGGATGGTGTACTAGCTTCATAGTCTTCCAGTTCTGTAATGAATTTCCCTGTAATGATTGATGTTCTCCCACAGGATTGAGTATTTCCCTGTGGGTAACAGTGTCACTTGTCGCAATAGAGAACATTGAATGATGACAGTGATGTGTTAACCATTAGGCAGGACTGCAGGGTCCAACCAAGCTGTAAAGATGCATCTTTCCGAGGCAAGGGAGTTAACTGACTATAAAAATCCAGTTTCTACCCTTGCCGAACTAGACACAGGAATTATGGAGTTATGTTTTGGCTGGACTAACGAGTCAATGCATAGTCAAATCAGAATCATGTAACGATGTTGACATTCTGTTCATAAACTTCAGTGCAGATTTCAGACAATTGCAGAATTTGCAGAGCGTGTGTACCGTCATCTGGGCTTCAACAGATATTTTCCAAATCTTTTCTGTATTTCATGTTTTTAATCAGGTGCCCAAGTGGTTCCATGCATTTTGCGTTGTAAGACTCATCTTATTACAGTAAATATCATGAGTATAAATCAGATCATTTTCACTGGGCACCGCCATTTTGTTTGAAGCAAATGCAAATGATATGAGAGGTGGAATCTGATTGGTCTGTCGGAGGGTCATAGAAGTGATGTAACTCATAATAATCACTGGTTGCGCTACAATCGAGCCACATAATTCCAGCCTAGATTGTCGGGGGGGGGGGGGGGGGGGGGGGGGTGTGTGTGTGGAAAACTGGGCTTTTTTAGTCAGTTAACTGCCTTGCCTCGGGAAGATGTAAAGATTCCACCTCACCTGTTTCATTAGAAAGCCACTTTCTTGCCCTGATTGTCCTGTAAGATTTCTATTTGTTGGCAGTTATCAAACACATTAAAACTTGATGAAAACACTGCTGATTAATCTTACTGGTATGTCCATTGTTCCATTGTGAGTCAATACCAGCAATAATGCGTCATGGTATTCCACGCAGCAATAGGTATGTACATCTTGTTTGTCCAGCCATCCAACAACTACTATGACTGATTGAGGTATGGCCTGCAACTCAATCCTTCCTTCCTGTGTCATACAGTAATTACAGCGTTGGTTTGTGTGGTAAACTGGTGTGGAGGTACATGCTTCAGTGTGTCAGTCAGTGAAGAGGACAGATGTGTTGCAGCAACTGTCAGGCTCCTCATGGAGCTAGATCTCTACACTAGTGTCAGGCTCCTCATGAAGCTAGGTCTCTACACTAGTGTCAGGCTCCTCATGGAGCTAGATCTCTACACTAGTGTCAGGCTCCTCATGGAGCTAGATCTCTACACACCTGTCAGGCTCCTCATGGAGCTAGATCTCTACACAACTGTCAGGCTTCTCATGGAGCTAGATCTCTACACAACTGTCAGGCTCCTCATGGAGCTAGATCTCTACACTAGTGTCAGGCTCCTCATGGAGCTAGATCTCTACACAACTGTCAGGCTCCTCAAGGGGCTAGATCTCTACACAACTGTCAGGCTCCTCATGGAGCTAGATCTCTACACTAGTGTCAGGCTTCTCATGGAGCTAGATCTCTACACAACTGTCAGGCTCCTCATGGAGCTAGATCTCTACACAACTGTCAGGCTCCTCATGGAGCTAGTTCTCTACACAACTGTCAGGCTTCTCATGGAGCTAGATCTCTACACAACTGTCAGGCTCCTCATGGAGCTAGTTCTCTACACAACTGTCAGGCTTCTCATGGAGCTAGATCTCTACACAACTGTCAGGCTCCTCATGGAGCTAGATCTCTACACTAGTGTCAGGCTCCTCATGGAGCTAGATCTCTACACAACTGTCAGGCTCCTCAAGGGGCTAGATCTCTACACAACTGTCAGGCTCCTCATGGAGCTAGATCTCTACACTAGTGTCAGGCTTCTCATGGAGCTAGATCTCTACACAACTGTCAGGCTCCTCATGGAGCTAGATCTCTACACAACTGTCAGGCTCCTCATGGAGCTAGTTCTCTACACAACTGTCAGGCTTCTCATGGAGCTAGATCTCTACACACCTGTCAGGCTCCTCATGGAGCTAGATCTCTACACAACTGTCAGGCTCCTCAAGGGGCTAGATCTCTACACACCTGTCAGGCTCCTCATGGAGCTAGTTCTCTATACAACTTCACAATACGGCTGAGACACTGCCGATGTGGCGTTAAATATTAACTCACTCACTCTCTATACAACTAGCATACTCCTCTTGGTTTTTTTGGATCCATCAATTATTCTGTTGAATTAGCTAAGCATGTGTTTAACACTATATTTTGATTATATCTGTTATGAACTGACCTTCCTTTCATCATGTTTGTGATGTCTGTATCATAAGGTGCGTGGGCCAGGGGCATATTATAACTCTGATCTTTGTATCCTCATGCAGTGCTTCATCATAAAAAGGGATCAACTTGGAGCTACATTGAGCATGTTGAGCGTGCTTTATGAACACTTGGCAGATAGCTCTAATAGCTTATCTGCATCTTGGTGTGACCCTCGAGGCTCCTATTTTTAATCTTAGCATCCCATGGTGTATTTCATTAGCTAAATCTCAGAACTCTCAGTTCTATAATTTGATGGTCAAAATTTATGTTCTAAGATGCCCTAATGTAATGTTGTATGTTTTTTTTGTTGAAGAGTTTTTGACACAATCTTATTATTTTCTTGTGATCTTGAAACACTGGCTAATTATCATCATTTAAAAAAAATAAGGATTTCTTCTGACCTTTTTTTGGCTTAAATTTGGACCGATGTTGATGGCATTTATATCCCTGTCCTGTGTTGTGATATCGGCATGAAATGTCAGAAAATCCCAATATGGCTGATAAAAGATTCAGCTGAATAGATCATGATAATAATCCATCTATTATTTATCACATATATTTATACATCATAAACATGATGCAATGCAAAGAAGACAAAGAACCAGTCTCAGAATGGCTTCTAGTAGCATGTTATACATTTATTAGATAAGGAGATAATCAATGTACACATGGATAAAAGAAAATCTATTTCATGTGAAATGTGAATTTGTTTTTGTATTTACATGTGCAAAAACATTAAAGTCATGGACAATTTATTCTTTAAGTTTTAAGCTAATCCTATTGATCCAGAGGACATTGTGATCAGGTGAAAATAATAATAATATGGATAATTTTCTTTGTTGTCACATTACACACGGTTGTCTTTCAGTTACTTGGTTGTGAAATATTTATGATGTATGCAAGAATCTTATGAACTGTCATTTGATTATCACAGAAACCGCTCAGTTATGACTGATAAAACTCAGTATGGTGAGTGAGTGGGTGAGTGAGTGAGTGAGGTTCATTCCGCTTTTAGCATTATTCCAGGATTTCAGTGTGGCAAACCTGAAGTGCTGGGACAATACACCGATGCGTCAGTCGCACACTAAAGTACTCACGGAAATGAAAAAAAACTGTTTTTCTCAATTTAACAATCGACACAAAGTGTTACGTAGCTGTAGATACGAAATAACAAAACAACTCGAAAAGTACTAGTCTGGATTTGTTAGTTTGATCTCAGTGAACAATACAAAATGTACTTTACAGTAGGTAATTTGTCGGCACTTTCAACATTCTAAAATAAAACTAAGTCCAAATTGACATAGCAGAAACAGACTATAGGCATTATGCACCTGTTCTCACCTGTCGTCAAGGTGTCATAGGTCACCTTGATCTACTTACACCTGGTTATGCCCTGTTTCACAATAGTCTGTTTTATTCACATTTTTACACACTTTTAAAAAGGCATAAAAACATTTGATACGCTGTATTTGTGCCACGGCCCAATTAGTACTAATTTAGTTGTTTGAATATTTACATATTTTGTATATTAACTGCATTTATTTAAGATCTGAGATCGAAAAAACAGGTTTTTTTTCATTTCCGTGAGTACTTTAAGTAAAAATATCAATTCTGACCTTAAATGTTTGCTTTAATAACTGTTCCACTTGACACTAATCAGTAGTGCAAGCTAATAGTAAAAACATATTTTTAGCAATGCTCAGTCAAATTTAGAATTTTGCATATTGTGTTAACAAATCACTGATTAAGCTTTAGAAATCCTTCAGAAATACATATCATAGGATTGTATTTCTCCCACTTGTCTGATTAACTTTCAGAAAAGCTCTTTTGACAGTGCCTTTGAGGGCCCAAAAAATCCCTTTCGCCTAAAAAATGGCAACAAATGAAAAGGGGTAACATTTTACGAAAATGTTTATTTGAATTAAACCATAATATAAATTAAACATAATAGTAGTAATCCATGGCCAATTTTGGTGCATATTCACCTTAACTGACTTTTTGGAATAGAAAAATGACTTTGAAATGTGGCGAAAATGTCCAATTTTGGGGGAAAGTTTATAACTTATGACACATCTCAGCTTCCAGGCACCGTTTCTAGTACAGCACCAACTGTGCCTGTTAATATGGGAATGCAGAAGATAAAAGGCTGAAATATTTTTCTCTCACATTTGACTTAAGGGTTTCCAATTTCTGTCTCTTTACAGCAAATTCATCAGTGGCTCTTTTTAATTTTCTTTTCAAATTGTAATTTTCCATTTCTAGAGATATCATTAAGGAATTAAGATTAAGCTGCTGAAAGCGAACATAAAAAAACCCTTCCAACCCATTTAGCACACATTTGACGGTTTCTGGGGGCAAATTTGTGAATTTCAAATACTAACTCATGTTTAAAACTTAGTCGGAACTACACTCACATCAGCCTGTGCTTTCATGCTGTCAATAAGTTGCAACTGTTCAAGTAATGGGAACATATTCAAACTTCACTGCTTATTTTCTAAACTTTTTTTCTTTGGTTTTTCAATGCTACGTTTCTGGGACCCGTTCCACAAAGCGATCCTAGCGCTACGACTGTCGTAAGTCAGTTTTAAAGAATGGGAGTTACGACCGACTTAGCGCTAAGATCGCTTTGTGGAACGGGGCCCTGGATCTTGATCTCAGCAATGAAAGGGAACCAGACCCACTACTACTACTAGAACTGCTAAATTGAACAAGTGATGGAATGTTTCTCTTGAAGTTTTATCACTCACAAAGTTCACACTCAAAATGACCATAAAGCCACTGTGCAACCTTATTATTTTCTGACAAACATTGAGAATAAGTTGATGTAACAGATTCACAATCTCTCAATTTTCTGTAAGAATCAATTAAATTCTGGTGGTGATGTTCAGGATACACATTCAATGGACACTCAATTGTGGCCGAATGAGACTTTTTCAAGTTGCATGTTTTGAAGCAACTGTTTGACAGGTCTTTTCATTAATTAAAACATAAATTTAGTTATTTATTGTAACACATATATAACATCATAATTGTTCCTCATACCTACGTTGAAACTACATTCATTAATGATAATAAACATGTTTCAGTCACAAACACATGACATTGACAATGTGAAATGGTTCAGCCTGACAAAGTTATTTTAGTTTTTTTAAAACTTTAAACACATATTATAGTTTGTCAACGCAAAATTTACAGTTAAAAAATACCTCAATGTCATAAATATATTCTCCAATACAACATTCTTACATTTACTACTTCAAATTGCGACAATTGTTGCAAGATTGTTAAAAACAAATACTGTAGAGTTTGTGAAACACAAGCTCCTCACAGCGATATCCCGTTTGCAGAGCTCTCTATACCGAGAGTGTAACGAAGGTGTAACACGCTGGGAAGGAGCTTGGTGAAACATGTCCAAAGGGAAGTAACTGCATAGTAATGTAAAAACTGCATATTGCTAATAGAAATAGGGTGGGGTCTGATTTAATTTATTTTTTTTAGATATTGTCCCTTATGTATTACATCTAAAACACGCTGAAAATTATAAGAAATGATTGCAGAAGAGAATAAACCTATTTACAACTGCGTATTCGGCTGTGTTGATAGTTTTAAGAATAACTGTTGACTTCATCAATGTAACTCAACTTCGAAGAAAATTCTAAAAATAGCAGCTTATGAAATACGCACGCAATCTTTACCCTAGTTTGTGATGTATGCTGATTTTACTGCTTTCTGCGTTAATCAATGAGTTAAGAGATGGGATTTTGAACCGACCCTCCGAGGTGTGGTAAACTAGCTTTGAGAATTCGTGTGTTACCTCCTCTTGCCTTGAGCATTGCTACTGTCACTATTCAATTCAGAGCCGAAGACATCTTTTCAGACTCTTTGAATCCCACCTATTATTGTTATGTGTACGATAAAGCATGTTCGAGGTTTTTATGATATTTAAAACCATTATCTGCGGGATAAGTCATATCCTCATCAAAAGGATAATGGCTTTTAATATCATACAAAACCCAAGGGGAACTGTTTTATCTAAATATGAACTGAAAAAACCCAACTTAAACATACTTTCCATGAACCTAAGGAAACTGGCGTAAAATATCTATTGCTGGCGTACGGTTTTTGAAAAAGACAATAAAAAAAGCAGCCTGTGTAGCCTAATGTTACACTCACTGGGCCACTGATAAAAAGGTTGTGTGTTCAATCCCCGGGAATATGAAAAAAACATTTTTCACTTGATTTTACATTTCATTACATGTTACAATCTGAATGGAAGTTGTATTAATAAAATCCCCGGGATATTTTAACACATAATATAGCAAATAATCCTGGAGTTTCCTATAAAATTCCAGATATATTATATAAAATCCCGCTGACATTACAACAATGGGATGAAGTCCCTGGAGGTTTATAAGAGAACGCCTCATTCGGTTTGGCACTGTACAAATGGACTTACTATTGTTCTGACAGTGTCTGCAAGCTGCTGTGTGGACAGTAGGGGCTGACCCAATCCCACCCTATAATAAGTTACTGGTTACCCTTTTTCAGTGTGTGATAACCTGGCCTGTCAAGCTGATGATAATGTGTTATTTGTTGTTCAACATATTCAACCAACTATGTTTTATTACTTAGCTATATTGATAGAATCTTTGTGTTGTGTTGAATCAGGACGTAAACTTCTGCTGTGGGCACAAATGCATTTTACCTGACATCTATCCACCATAATGGCGTGCGACAGCATTACTATTTGAAAATGATGCTCTCAGAACAGAACAAATTACTCTGCTTGCTTTTGTTTGGTTTAATATGAATAAACAGAATTGGAAATTAGAGCAATTTGTAAACATAATTGGATGTCAACGTCCAAGCTTTACTTGAAAATAGAAGGTCCAGTATTGTGTGCTGTAATCTCATCATTGATGTACCTTGGGGCCATTTTCAACAAACAGTGTTTTTCCATTTACATTGGTAGCTAAAAATCACATTTACTTATGAAAGCATTTAATTCAAGGTGTAGGGGCAAGCCCCACAAATCAAGCTATTTTAGCAATGTGGCTGCAAATGGCATCTGGAAAATGTATAAATTGTTCCAAAGAGGGAGCTTGTGGAGATCACTTACCAAAATGGTGGAAGGTGTAGGGCTGCGATGGTTCAAAATTGTGTACACTAAAATCGTTATCGATTACTATTTAACGTTTTCGTTAAAATCGTGCATCGTTAGAAAGAATTGCGAAAATTAGCGACTTGTAGTGTAACCACTGAGCTATACATGTAGTGAGTTTTTGTCTACCGGGTAAACAATATACGTGACTATAACCAGGGGTCTGGGTAGTCCTGTGGTTCCCTGGGTCCTACTCAGGACCCACCCGACCCGAGTTACCCGTCCCAGCCCTAGTAAGATGCTACTTGCCCTGGCAGGTTTACCTTGTCATGTGTTTGTTTATTTCTATGCAAATTCCTCGACCTCATAGTCATGATATTAAAGAGCAGAGACCTATTATTTCCCAGACAGATGTTTGAATGGTTTTCACCACATTGTGTTTGCAGTACAGAACTCGGGGCCTGTTTCTTAAAGCAATCATTATAAGTAGCAAGTCTTAGCTTTGCGCCATGCATGTGAGCCAGTGCTGTTTGTACATAGGCAATATCAATCAATCCCTTTCTGTCATCAGATCTAGTCATGTCCTGCCTATGAGGCAGGAAGGTAGAAACAGCCACACAGTGGCATTTTGTATGTCATAGTTTCATAACCGGAATATCAAGTGATTCAAGTGATTCGGTTGTTAATGTTTGGGATGGCCTATGACCCAAGAGACCCAAATTCTACACATGGAATTATATCATTCAGTATTGATAGCATACTTCTACATAAAATTTGTGAAAGTGATACTTTGTTCTAAAACATTTCTGAAAGAACGAGACAATATGCAAGCAAATGCGACACAAATTGGTAAATTGTCTATGTCATTGTGACTGATAAATAGTGATTGTGTTATACAAACTCGCGACTGTTTTTGGTATGATGTTTAGTATTATGATGTATGAGGCTGGCTTGGGAAAATTCCGGCATGGGTTTTATACCACTAGAATGTAACCAGTTAAAATAGGAAGTGTACTTGAAGGCAGACCTTTGTCGGCAACACTTCATGATATATTGTCCACTCAGTTATGAAGATGATTATTATCTGTCAATGGTAGTAAGAATTTTTAAATTAAATTTTCTTGAAATTTATTTTAATTTTATATGCTGTTATTGATGTAGTTTCACATTTAAACAAATGTAGATGAAGCATCAAGGATTGTCATCTGAAGAAAGCCTTTTGTCCTTAGCCCCTGTCAGGGGCAGCCATCATAGAGCTGGAATATTGCTGAGTGCGACGTTACACAGCAACAACAAACCTGTGTCATAGTGGTATTAGTACAGTGAAATCTTGTTAATTGTTCCCAGTGAAACCACAGAGATTAAAAGAAACCTGGATTGTAATCAGATATGCCAACCATTTTGATGTCTACCAGAACTGTAACAATATTTTGGACCAAATTTCGCGATAATGGTTACGGTATGTAAAAATATATCAAGAATATTGTCACAATACAACCTTGCTAGTATTTGGACTAGTTATTGGCCTCGCTAAAGGCATTGTCACACATACAGCCATTATTGATAAGCCCTTGGTTTAACTTGTGAAGGGAAGGTTGACATTTGAGGTTGTATTTTGAGGAGTTTGGGTGATACAATGCAATACAAATGATGATTATTGTCATCAAAACCATAGTCAATCACACCGATAATTATTACTATAGATTTTTTAATTATTCATGTTAGCCCCCAATTAACCCAGATACACAATTGCCCCAATTTTATCTCTATTTTTTCCATTTATTCGTACATGTATGTAGTGAAGTACCTTTTTCATATATAGATGTCCCCGTCAGTTATTGTCCCCAGATTTGACTCATGGATTTTGACTTATTCTTTTAATGTAACATTATGGTACAGATGCTCGTACCTTTATCAAGCAAGTGATCAACAGCTGGGTAATTGTCTGGATGGCAGAGTGTCCAGATTGATGAGGTGTCATTGTATCCAAGTTTGTATCTTACTACTGGAATGAACACAATAAGTGTTAAGCTTGTTGTATGGCAAACTCTTCCACCTCCAAGGCAAATATACGATAGTGTGAGGGCAGAATCAGTGGCCTTTTTGTCAAAGGTGCCTCAATTCAATGTGCAGAGTTGCATCCGTTTGGCATGACATGATCCTATGATTGTGAGTTCGAATCCCAGATTTGCCCTGATTATGGACATTGGTTTGTCTGGACCTAACCGTTGGTCATGGGTTTCACCAAAGTGGTAAATGTGTGTGACCTGCATCACTTCATCTTTTATTCCAACCAGCCACACCTTGATTTTACAGTACAAATCTAATGATCCTCAGGCTCTGTTTAGGTATCAGTGATCTGTCATGGCCCTCAGAGGAAGCTCACATGTTGATTTTGGGGTATTTTCACAAGGGCAGACTATTTTAATTACTTGTTTTACAGATCACCTGTCACTTTGTAGCGATTATAAAATGTATATTGTCTGTAATATCCAGTAACTTTACCTTTAAATTTACAATTACATGTGACTGTGCATGCTCTCTCATTCTCACTTGCGGGAGGCCCTGGTCGCCTATTCGCTGTGCAGAGTTGCGTCCCTTGGGCACGCCAGAAACCTTTGATTGTGGGTTCAAATCCCGGTTCGCCCTGATTATGTTTCTAGGTTTGTCAGCACCATACCCGTGCTCGTGAGTTTCACCGAAGTGGTAAACGTCTGAGACCTGCATCACTTTGAGCTTTCCTCCCACATTAAGCTGACACGCCGTGATATAACTGGAATACTGTTAAAAAGCAGCATTAAACCCAACTCACTCACCCACTCACTCTCTCACTTGCTTCAGGTTAGACTTCACCTAAAGGAAAGGGATAGTATTTTCCCATAACACAAGAACAAAAAAGGAATCTTAAGTTTAAAACTGAGGTTTGCCAACTTTGTTTCATCCAAAAATTGATTTGCAGTTTCACAGTAGGTATCGCTTGGGTGCAATCAAGCCTCAGAGTTTACAACTTTTATCAACTCATGATGATATATTTAATAACAAAAGAAGATGAGATTTTTTATTTATCATCCAAAATCATTCTTCCATTTGTAAACAGTTTTAATCATTATAATGCAGTGAGTGTAATAGGTACAGCTAATAAGCTTTAGTGTCAGAGAGATTAGAAATGTTTTGATGGTGACCTCATTGTAACAGTGATGTCACAATGGTCTGCAAATTTAATTGCAGCAATGTCTCCGAGAAACAAAAATCCCTTGATCTCCCCCAGGTGATAGCTTCTGTGGAAGCCAGTTTGGGATCATAACAGAAAAAATGTTTATGGGCACCGTGCAGTGGTAAATGATATAAGTCAATGATTTGTTTCATTTCAAAAAGAAATTTATTCACTCTTGCCCACCCAACCCGACCCACTCTTTCTCTCTGCCCTCGTTTCCCCAACACCTTTCCTGCCTTTGGTATTATGTGTACCAGAGCTGGGACGAGTCCAAATTTACTACCCTACCCCTGCCCGACCCCTACTGCCCGACCCTACCCGGGTACCTGCTGTAGGTCTCAGGAGCTGGGTACAAAATGTCTGTCTTGGAATTGTTTGACCAATAAGCATTTAGGTACCCTATAAAATGATCTGGTAATGCTTACACTGAAGTAGACTGAAGCTTTATCTTTCATATTAAAACATATAAAAATCAACAGGAATGCATTCATAGTCCGAAAGAAATGCGAACATTTGTGACTTGTAGTGTAACCATGGAGGTCTAGATAATTTTTGCCATTAACAATATATCATGTGACTATCCACGGGTCCGGGTAGTCCTGTGGGTACCCGGGTCCTCCTCAGTACCCCATTGACCTATGTACCCGCATTACCCGTCCCAGCCCAAATGTGTACAAGAAGTAATAAATTGATCTCTCCCTGTAAAGAATTTTTTACTTGTTGATTTTCAAGCACCTATTTGTCATTTGACTGTTTGGCTCTGTCATGTCTGTGAGAGATATACAGTAGTGTTTCCTCTTATTGTTGACTATTTCAGTGATATTTACATTTGTTTCATATTACACTGTGTAATAACAAACTATGCATTTTCTTGTTTTTCATCTTGATTAAATATTTCCAGACTCATAATGATTTGTGTTTTGTATGTATGACTCAAAAGTTCACAAGTAGTCACACTGATTTACATATGATAATGAATCACAGTCACATTCAAGAACATTCATGTTGAATTGACTGTACATCGATCAGACAGAACAGGACTAGTAATGAAGAGAGACTGACAAAAACTACACAGATTAAGCCAGTTGGTATGTACACTGAATTTATACCACTCCACTTATATTAAATTATTTTTAGCATTCAATGATACACGAAAAGGATTCTCATGAAATGTTGAGAGATATTTAAATATATCGGACATATCAAATCATCCCTATGAAAAGTGGAATAGTATTTTTCCTCTATAACTCCAGTACCCAGCTGATTGGATTCAAATCATTTAAAACCCACCTTGTAAACACTATTTGTATGTATGTATGTGTGTGTGTGTGTGTGTGTGTGTCTGTCTGACTGACTGTCTGTCTGTCTGTCTGATGTATGACAGATGTATGACAGTAATCCGATTGTTAAGCTATAAATTATTTCACAAAGCCCATACTGTAAATAACACTGATTAAAAAATGGTGAGATAAGATAAGGCTTTGGCTAACACTTCCTTCTATCTGAGACAATACGGTCTCTGCCTGTACGTTTGCATCAATAATGTGGGACTTAATCATTATAGACAGATATTGTGGTTTATGTCAACATGTTACAAGTATCATGTTCAACATAAATCTGATTAATAAACTATTTAGTGGAATGAATCCGTGCTTGGCATAATGAATTAAAATCCGTGTCTATAAATAACAGGGGTTTTCCAGAATTCAATCTATTTTTAGATGGGAATTTCCCACATTTTAACATTTGATAAGACTAGCTGAAATGAACAACGTTCTTTTTTTTACTTTCTCACTTCCTTGACTAGTGTCGGTATAGAATCAGGCTTATTAAAAAAATATACAGTTAATAATTCAAAGTATTTCAACCACGACAGGAAGAGAATGAATGATATGTGCGTAGTTTCATAAAGCAGATACCATATATGCATGGTCATTGATACAAGTAGGAGTTGACTATAAACAACATATCACAGTCAAAGTGCCAATCCCAGTCTTGCGAATGAGCTGCAGGTATTGGTCAAACAGGGCGTTTATATACACTGTATTGTATCGTGCACACCTTCGGTCACGTGACTAATGGCCGCGATATAGGGTATTCCCCTTTTAGAGCTCACGCAATACACAGCCGTCAGCCGACCAGTTCAGCTATGTGAGTATCCGTCCACTGCAAGTAGACTTGCGCCATATTACTCTTGTTAAGTGTTATTTTCCATACTCAAGTTATGGTCAGCGAAGGATATTACAAGTAGGTATTTTGTTTTTGATGGTACTCCATATTAATTTTTTCAAATTTCATATTTATGAATTTCTCGGAATCAGGTGATGTCTTTTGGGGAGGGATATATTACTCAGGTGTTAATCATAGCGTAATAATTTATACTGTTTACTAGGAGTGACGTGGGGCTATAGAAAAAGCTAAACTAAATATAGATTTATTTAGACGGAATTATCTGACATTGCGTATCAAACCAATTGACTCAAGTCAAGACAACTAGAGGTATGTACCGTCAGTCACGGGACATTGTAACTAATAATCCATACTTAAACCCTCACAGATGAGGTCTAAGAGTTTGTTGGTAAAGATCATGTGTTGCATGGTCCTATGCGTCAGTATGTTCTCTGTAGGTTACAGAAAAATAACAATATGGCTTTAATATTGCTAATATATTTCAGCATGTTTTTTTTCAATTTTGTTTAAGTCAGTTTTTCGTGTTTTTATTGGGTGTAGGATAATTCGTTTACGCAGTTTCATTGATGATAAAATATGTTTCCCAATGCTGAAAACCTCTTAAATTTTAAAAGGCGTGTCACATGACCTTTTGCTATTTCAATTTCTCCTCAGGGAGTGGCTATTTCCTCCTCGTCTGAGCGATATTGTACAAACCTCGTTAGTCTGAACCTCGATAATCCGGAAATCCCTGCTTCAGGACCATTAGGTCAGACATCGTTTGTTAACGAAGATTCGGCTCAGGTAGGAACATCGACAAAAATCAAAATGTTATGTAGGTTGGGGATTAGAAGAGAGATTAATTATGTGTCGCAATTCGTCATAATTCCTCCAGTTTCGATATTTTTAAAGATAAATGTTTAACACATTTAAATTATAGTATTTGATTTTTTTTATTTATATTGAGAGCGACAGTAAAGGATTTTTTAAAGCTTTTAATTTTTGGAGTAAGCGGATGGTGCATTCAATTACAAAGGGACATTACTCCGTATCCTTGATTCGTTCTTATCATTGATTCATTGGGAACAGTTCAATCCTGTTAACGAGATGTAAGTCTATTTGATTTGTTTGCTTGTTTGTTGTTTAGCGCCGCACTTAGCAATATTCTAGCTATATGACGGAACTTGTATCCGAGAAGATTATTTTATCATAAAAAATGAGTGAGTTGGGTTTAACGCCGCTTTTAATAGTATTCCAGTTATATCGCGGCGTGTCAGCTTAATGTGGGAGGAAAGCCCGAAGTGATGCAGGTCTCAGACGTTTACCACTTCGGTGAAACCCACGAGCATGGGATTAGTGCTGACAAACCTAGAAACATAATCGTGGCGAACCGGGATTCGAACCCACTATCATTAAGAGAGAAACTGTATGAGAAACTGGAGGCACTTGTATATTTTATTCATTTAAAAAAACTGATAAATACATTAACTGTCGACAGATGATATTCAAATGAAGCATGAGTGTTTTGTACGACTTTTTATCGTGTATTTTATAAAGGGAACAAGGCACACATAGCAATTTCCTTCGTCTGTGGATACCGATGCACGTGAGGCATGGGGTGGTTGTAATTGTTAAATTAATATATTATTGCCCCTACAGCGGGATTTAAATGCAGCGACATATTTAACAAGTATGTATTCAACTTGTCACCACGTAATTTCATCTAATATTAAAAAGAACCCACTATGTTCGTTGAATTTAGTTTGGTGGAAAGTTGAGGTGATGTTGGGTTTAACGTCGCGTCCAAGGTTATCGCACTTATTTAGCGACGTGCATGTACGTGTGTGTGTTTGTGTGGCTGCTTGAACTAGTCCGGACTGATGCCGATTTATAGTGCTAGCTCACTGAGATACCATGCCGCAGTTTAACATGGATACCCCACTCAGACACAGTATACTGACTCCGAGCCGACCAGTCCTTGTCTTAGCCCCTTTATGCCGAGCGCCAGACAGGATAACAACAAGTACCATGCATCGTTTAACGTCTTTTGGTATGACGCGGCGGGGGATCGAACCCCGGACCTTCTGCTCTCCGGGCGGACGTTCTACCACTAGACCACGGAGGCGGTCTTGATGGAAAGGAGAACATGTAGATTATGTTAAATGTTTTTGTAACAATACATTTCTACCCTAATAGGCAAAGTTGGGTTGAAATATCAAACTTTAGACAAAAAAAACCATATCATATAATTATATAGATACACTATCATGTCGCCCACTTTGATAAACATTTGGTTGTTTTGTACAAAAACAAGCCATTTTAATATTTTAACTATTGTTCAAATTTGAGGACAGTTATCGGTTTCGTGTTCCCCATGTATACATTTTCAGGATGAATTTTTATTCACACATTGATGCGGCTCATGTGCTCTTTGAAGAATGCTGAGGTATTGCCATCTCCAAATTCAGAATGTCCCGCTTGGCATCCTCCTAACATCCATAACATCATTCTTTAACTTGTACGGTCTGGTTAAAGACAGGTTCGGACGGTTACGTGGATCGACGGAATGGACAATTGCTTTTGCCCTACTCGAATATTTACAGGGCTTCGTGAAATGGCTATATTGTGAATAGTACTGGCTGGCACCTTACCGATAACTGTCAGGCAGACTAAGATATGATGATTATGATCACTGATGCATAATGTATTGGAACAACTGGCAGCTATTTACACTATTATAGATATCCAGGGGGCACGGGTGGCCCAGTCGTCTAAGGAGCCTCGATTCGCTATGCAGAGTTGCGTCCCTTGGGCACGCCAGAAACTTATGATTGTGGGTTCGAATCCCGGTTCGCCCCAATTATGTTTCTAGGTTTGACAGCACCATACCCGTGCTCGTGGGTTTCACCGAAGTGGTAAAGTCTGAGACCTGCATCACTTCGGGCTTTCTTCCCACATTAAGCTGACACGCCGCGATATAACTGGAATACTATTAAAAGCGGCGATAAACCCAACTCACTCACTTACATCTGATGACGAACACCTGGTGTTTTACGTGTACAGAATATGTCACAAAACTCTGTTGGTTATTTATATTGAATATTACTATATCGTGAATAAATTATTATATGAAGTGGTAAACGTCTGAGACCTGCATCACTTCGGGATTTCCTCCCACATTAAGCTGACACGCCGTAATGTAACTGGAATAATGGAACTCACTAACTAACTATAGATATCCAAATTATGTTCGTCATGTGTACTTCCTGAGTAATAATGGAGATGCATTTTGGCAAACATAACAAATATGCTCGTGAATAGGAAACGCCGATTCAACCATCCCGACGAAATAAGTGACCAGTCTATTTCTGTACAAAGCTAGGCATGGATGATACGTCCAAGAGAAAGAAATGAGATGTTGGATATCAGGGAAAGTTGTCATTTAGTTTACATACCAGACACAACTAATACATATTACCAGGAAATCTAGGACAGAAAGTTGTCATTTAGTTTACATACCAGACACAACCTATATGTATTACCAGGATATCCAAGACAGAAAGTTGTCATTTCGTTTACATACCAGACACAACCAATACATATCACCAGGTACTCTAGGACGGAAAGGTGTCATTAAGTTTACATACCAGACACAACCAATGCATATCACCAGGTACTCTAGGACGGAAAGGTGTCATTAAGTTTACATACCAGACACAACCAATGCATATCACCAGGTACTCTAGGACGGAAAGGTGTCATTACGTTTACATACCAGACAACCAATGCATATCACCAGGTACTCTAGGACGGAAAGGTGTCATTAAGTTTACATACCAGACACAACTAATATATATTACTAGGTAATCTAGGACGGAGAGTTGTCATTTCGTTTACATACCAGACACAACCAATACATATTACCAGGTAATCTAGGACGGAAAGTTGTCATTAAGTTTACATACCAGACACAACCAATGCATATCACCAGGTACTCTAGGACGGAAAGTTGTCATTAAGTTTACATACCAGACACAACCAATACATATTACCAGGTAATCTAGGACGGAAAGTTGTCATTAAGTTTACATACCAGACACAACCAATGCATATCACCAGGTACTCTAGGACTGAGAGTTTTCATTTCGTTTACATACCAGACACAACTAATATATATTACTAGGTAATCTGGGACGGAGAGTTTTCATTTCGTTTACATACCAGACACAACCAATACCTATTACCAGGCTGCCCATTGCAAACCGGGAATATTTATAGAATAAGAATTATAAGGATACCATAATATGAACTCTTGCCTTGGTGGCTGACAAAGAAAGTATTTGTGTATTCAAATATATTTTTGGAAAGAAAAGGAAAACCCCCAATTGCAAAGACGTTTAACACTGATATACATTTATCTTTACGTACAGTGACATACACGGCGTATGGTGTATATATTTTAATGTTACATACAAAACAGCAATGAATGTCTAATGTTTTGACTCTGAAGAGGCGGCGGGGTAGCCTTGGGGTTAAAGCGTTCGCTCGTCGATTCCCGGGTTCGATTCCCCTGATGGATACAATGGGTGAAGCCCATTTCTGGTGTCCCCCGTCGTGATATTGCTGGAATATTGCTAAAAGCGGCGTAAAACCATACACACTCACTCACTCACGTCTGATGCGCCGCCAATGGATGTGCAGAGTTGCGTCCCTTGGGCCAAAACTGACGATCGTGGGTTAGAATCCCAGATTCTCCCTGGTTGTGTCTAGGTTTGTGCTCGTGGATTTCACCAAAGTGGTAAACGTCTGATACCTGCATCACTGCGGCCTTACCGCTGTCATATCACTGAAAATACTGTTCTGTGCAGCGTTAAACGAAATACACTCACTCTCATTGAGACTAACATGTATCTGTATGACAGCACAATGGAGCATTACGACATCACCACCAGCATGCCGCTGCTGTCGGGCCTGGAGACGGCGTTCCAGGATTCCCTCACATCCAACACCTGCATCCCTCTGCTGAAGCAGGAACTCAAGTCCAAGATCCAGATCAGACGTCTTCGGCAAGGTCAAGGCGAACTGAAGGTCACCTTTGAACCGAAACCAAAACACGAGGTACATAAAATAGATACGAATTATAGTTTATATTCCCGCAGCAGAACAATCACACGCACGCACGCACGCGCACACGCTCTGGAATTCTTTTTTGCGGGACTAGTTTTATTTGTAACATGTTTTTATCCAGAGGTGCCGTATAAGTATTTTGGAAGCTAGTTAGTTGATAGAGTTTGTTGTATGGCATTTTTCGGTGACAGTACAACTGTGTCTTGTTTCTCACCCCAACAGACAAGATCTTGCGTTAGATGTCTATATCAATGTTTAGTCCAATCTCATTAAAATCAGATCTTAGTTCTCGCTACCGCCAAACAAAGATCACTCTCCTACCCAGGGTTCCTTGCGGCCGGCAGCCAGCCAGCATAGTACCTCTGCCACAGGCCAGCGCCATGTGACGATTCGTCACATCTTTCACAGTCCATTCAAGATATTGCATATGATGTTCATCCGTTTCATTTTTGACAAGCTTTCACATTGTGATAAACAAATGTCAAAGAATGGTTACGGTTCATTTAGAAAGTATCCTAAAACGTGAAAATCTACTTCCTTTTGCGTAGTTATCGTTTGTTTACATTGGTTGTACGGCTCCACGTGCTGTCATCGAAGCCCTACGGAGAGCTAGCGATACGGTCACTTTGATGTATACATATATATTGTCATGCAACTCACTGTCGCAGTTGTGGTAGCATATCAATATTATTATGCAAAACAATATGTAAAGCATAAACCAAATACTTGCATTAGTCCGTTCTATACTGATTTCTGAAAAAGCGCGTTTGTTTACAAACAAGAGAAAAGTCCGGTCACATGATATGCAAATTAGCCTGTGGCAGTGGTGTTATGCTGAGTCACCACTGCGACGGAGTGTGAACAAAGATCTGAAGATATCCCATTAGGGGTCACGTCAGAACGAATTTTTCATCCGACCAATCAGTGCGTCGCTTACCAGATTAGGAAAGTGACAGTCGGAATCTAATCATGCAATCTCGAAAACTTTAACATGGGATATTCCGAACGATAGTTACGGGTTTAACGACTGAACCCTTACAACCTAGACCATCTATTAGTCATTCCAGAATGTTTTTTTGTTCAGGTTTCAAATTTGTAATCGAGAATTTGTCAAAATATGCTTGGAAGCGTAGTCGCCAATTTGAAATTTGTGCCGTAAAGCACGAGAAAGCTGCCTTCTGATTGGTCATTAAATTGGTCGGTCAAAGTTCGCGCAAGGTTGGTCTGACGTGACCCGAAATAAGATAGCGAGAACTAAGATCTGATTTTAATGAGATTGTATGTTTTGGTATTGTAAAATGTATCCAATCCTTCCGGAATAATGCCATGTTCATCTGAGCGAATGGAACTTTATATTAAACGTATCCAACCCGTTTAATACCACGTTTACCTCGCCGATTGGAGTCTTCCTGTTTAGGGAACGCCATATTAAACCCAATTTCACATCACATCACCTTCTCGTTAAGACGTAACAACTACAATATTTATTATTCAATTGTATAGCAGTAAATTGTAAATGCATAACGCTATCTAAATCTTAATTATAAACGATTTTTTTACGTGCACTATTACTTTTTTACGTGTTGCATGTGCGTATCAAGTGCGATTTTATTTTCGTCCCGCGTACCACACTGCTGAGTTCCGAATACCCTCTAAATATACCCCCGAATCCCGCATTGCAAAAGGGGGTTGACAGCTTCTGTTATTGCAAGGCTGTTGTTTCAGTGCAAAGTTGCTGAAGTGTTGATGATGTTGCAGTGTCGATGTTGTTGCAGTGCTGTTGAAGTTGCAGTGACAATGTTGTAGTGATGATGGTGTTGGTTGTAGTTGACGGATGAGGAGAAGCAGAAGCAGGCGAGGAGGCGAGAGGTCAACAGGATGGCGGCGCTCAAGTTCCGGAGGAAGAAGAAGGATAAGATAACGGAGCTGGAGGAAGTAAGTCACGTGCATGGATGTAGTCACTGAGTCAGCAGCATAACAGATGTCGGTTTATCAAACCCGGTGGTTAATGGTGTGAGCACGAACCTCCCTGTCGCTATGGTGACACACTTGTTAAAAATACGATAAGGTTCCATTAAGCGGCATATTATCAAAATGTTGTCGTTAAAAAAAACAAGTTGCATTTGAAGCTCAAATAACATTCCTAATATCAGTGTTAACATGGACGTGATCCATAGTCTGTCTCCCAGACCCTAGAGAAGAAATTAGGAAAGGAGTCCAACTCAAGTCTAGAATGATTGGGCAAGTCTAGATTCCCCCAGCAAAAAAATAAACATTGTACTTGGCTCAATTTGGATTTGAATTTTTTTATTTAGTGTATATGTTACAGGGAATATGTATAATCAGGGAATATGTATAATCCCTGAACTTTTCAGGGAATATATTTAATGTCTGATTCACTCAGAGAATATACATAATCCATAAACTGTTAAGGTATTATACATATTCCCTGATTTAACATCAGGTGTTTTAGACATATTCCCAGAAATTAGCATTTTGTGTATATATTTCCTTATTTCTGGAACTGAATGTCAGTCTACCCTATTCACCGCAGTGTTCTAGATACACTGCTATATGGTCTCTGTAAATACGCGTTATAAAGTTTATAAGAGGGGGCATAGTAAGGAAGAAACGGGCATTGGCTCTTACGGGTAAATATTGTCTGTTGCAGAAAGCAAACAAACTCACTGCTGAGAACAAGCGTCTGGAAGAAGAACTACAACAATGGCGGAACATCCACGAGACCCGACAGTGCTCAACCCCGGCCACACCCGAGGGTGGCTATGTGTGGGTGTTGATAGAGACCGACAGGTGACCCCACGGGGACCTCCGTAGCCCAAAAAGACTGTGACCCACCACGTGATTTCTGACGTATGTGCGTGAGGGCACCGTGACACTGAACTATTTGCTTTGTTACGGAGAGAGCATTGTATATATGTTTATATATTTATTCAAGTATCGTTGTATGGATGGTGCCGGGGAATAGTGTTGTAATTATGGTAATACGTTACAAATGCCCAGAAGGCAGATTTACCCGCAAGCACCATCGTACCTTCCCAAGAGCAGATCTGATATGGCGATCGGCTTCGATTGAGAACATGTAGAAGATAGGGAAATGCTCCCTGATTGGACATCATGTATCACGTGATACGTCACGCCTAACGTTGAACACTGACGCTATACGACCTGGGTCCCGTTTCACAAAGCGGAGTTAGCGATAAAACCGTCTGAAATATATGTTGAAGCATGGGAGTCACGATTTAAAGCGCTTGGTTCGGAACGATTTCACTGTGTTTGTGTATGGAGTGACGACATTCGTAGTGCTGAGATATCTTTTAAACGTGACACTTTTGTTTTTAGACGCGTGTGGTTTAGATTGAGTGCACTAGTCATTTTGAAATAATTAAAGTTCGTTGTGTTCATTGTAATTCCTGCATTCTGATTAGCTCAATAGATCACATGTTTGTAGCATTCATTCCCAAAACATGTACAAAATTATGCCACGCTCATCGACGCGGACTACTTTTACTACGCGGATTCGTAGTTTTCACATCGGGTTTTCGATTCATACCTCAATGAACCGAAAACAAAATCCACAGTCAATTCTTAAATGAGTTAGATAACGTGTTTTGTGTTTAGACAATGACAAAAATCATAATTATATTTTTTAGTTGACTGTCCAATTCAACTAGTGTATGCGATGACGTGATTTTTTACAATGTGCACTCTTTTGCAGATATTGTTGTTATATGTACGTGCTATACGTATACATCTGTTTACCTCTATCTCTGTGTTGACGTTATTATTACACGTTTATTTCTATGATGGAACAAGAATAAAGAGACCCATCGAACTATATGGATCTTTGCTTGATTCCTGTGATATTCTTTTGTTGTTATTTATATCGCCGACGAAAGTGTCAAATTCTAATGGCCATAGTTTGGTTAAGGGTCTCTGGCAGAACCTTGGGCCTTGTCTTGTACAGTTTAATATGAACGTCCAAAGGAAACTCGATGAATGTGAAGGTATATCGTTTTCAAAATGGTCTGTCTTTTAGTATAAATCATTGAGTATTTATCATTTTCAAAAAGCATTGTAAGCATTTTCGCGTGAAAACCGATAGCGTCATTCGAGTATATTTGTTTTCAAGAATGTGTATCCTCGCCCCCTATACCCAATGTTTGTCGCTTGTGCCAACGTGTATGAAAATTGGGCGTCGACAGATATCTTCCAAATATTTCCATTTTTTTAATCATGGTGCTCAAGTGATTTGATGCACTTAGCGAGGTAAAACCAGTTTAAATAATAAAAGATCTTGATTATCGATCAGATCCTCTTGACTGGGCGCCGCCATTGTGTTTGAAGCAAATGATATGATGTGAAATGAAAATATTTGAATAATATCTTTGGACGCCCAGTTGACGGTACACATGCTGTGCAAAACAAGCAATCGATTGAAATCTGCGATTATGAATGGACTATGCATAAACTCGTTAGTCAAGCCCAAATATAACTCTATAATTCCAACCTAGTTCGGCAAGAGAGGAAATTGGACTTTTATAGTCAGTTAACTCCCTTACCTCGAGAAGATGGATTGCGTCGGATAAGTCGAATTTGATCGTATGTGAGTGTGTGAGTTGCGTTTAACGCCGTCTCCAATTGTGAATGACGCTGAAAAACGTTTTGGATGTCTCGAACACTCAGATAATTCGCACGTTTTCTCAGGTCGATTCAAATTCTACTAGTTGTATATCTTAGTGTTTCATATGCTGTCAATATTGAGTTTATGAAGAAGAGCAGACATGGTTTAGCCTTGATAACGACAGATGATTAAAAAAAAACCTCACATCTCCACAGTCTTGAAAGAATCAGGTATTATTTAACTTCAGTTGGGTAGAAAATGTTTAAGTGCACTGCATCAATACCATTGCGTGGATCGATGCTCATGATGTCAATCACTGGATTGTCTGGTCCAGACTCGATTATTTTACAGACCGCCGTCATATAGCTGGAATATTGCTGAATGCGGCGTTAAACAACAAACAAACAAACAAACAAACATCAATACCATGCTTTGTTAATCGGGACATTCGTTAATCCAGACATCACTTTGAAAGCTACCGGCTGGATGAACAGGGTTTCACTGTATTCACAAATATGGTCGGAATGTCACTGCAACTACTTCGTAAAACGAAAAACGTCTACAAACATCATACTGCATACATTGACTATAATAAAATAACAGCATGTATTGAAATATGTCTCTCAAACACGGCACTTTCAATACCGCCCTGACGTCAATCAGTGTTCGTATCGTCAGTCAGTGGTCTTGAAACATGTGTGCGTCATCGTGTGTGTAAACACCCCTTCAAAACGTTCCCCATGCTGTATTCAAACTGTGGTCGCTCAACCGTGAGAGTATTGGGTTGCGGGTATACCACAGTAACGGTTAAGCGGGATGTCGGCTGTGGTTGTCATGACGCTGCCATATACAACTGATAGACTGAAATATACATGACCCAAACCACAAACTGCTCGGGAACAAAACGGATGTGTTTCCGGAACTCGTGATATACAGCGCCATGAACCTGGGCACCCGTCTCCACCCGGTCGTCATCAGGACCCTCAGTGTTCAGCGCCAGGACACATCCTTCTCCACCCCATTGTGAGTATGCAAGGCTTTAGTTGAATTAAGTGATCTGGTATGATAAAAAAGCGCCCTATACTAACACTTAGTCAATGAAAACATGTCTTTAAAATAATAAAAAAATGTTTTCGAAAGAACCTTTCCTCTTCTGCTGTTGTGGGATCAAGCAAAACTAGACTTGGTTAATTTGATCAAGACTTGCCTAGGCTTTAAGTAAAAAACATACCTAAAAAATATAAATTCCTCATTCATGGTGCACGACTAAAAGCGCCCCCCAATACATAGTCGTTACGTCAATACTGTATTCAAGTCTGGATCATTATAACAAGTGGAATGCGCGAAATGATTTAATGGGAATAATTTGGTGGCGCAGGCAATAACATGTTTTGGGGGAGATTTTTCGAAAATTAATTAAAACTGCAGTTTTTATTCTTTTTTTGATATGTGGATCTTTCTTATTGTCCTACATTGTATTTAATAATGCCAGTGACGTGATTCATGTTTTACTGTTCTTTAACCTTCAAATGCCTCTGTGAAGTTCCTGGTTAGAATTTGTCTTCAGCAACCCATGCTTGTCTCAAGAGGAGCCTATGCTTGTCGTAAGAGGCGACTAACGGGATCGGGTGGTCAGGCTCGCTGACTTGGTTGATGCATGTCATCGTGTCCAAATTGCTTAGATCGATGCTCATGTTGTCAATCACTGGGTTTTCTGGCCAGAGTCGAGTATTTACAGACCGCCGTTATATAGCTTGAATATCGCTGAGTGCCGCGTTAAACAACAAACAAACATAACCTTTATACTTCGAAGTGAGGCTTTGTTCCTAGGACAGATAAATATCTTAAGATATTTTATGGTTAACATAACACAACTACCATAATAATGATCACATGTTCTTTAAATTGGAAAAGATTGACATGGATACAGAACAAAATAATTAATATCACAGCCATAATTTCAACAAATTTGCATTTAAATTAATCTTTGAACATTGAGGTGCGACAGGTGTGCCTCTTTCATCGTGTTTCTTTGACGGGTGAATAAAATATTTGGGATCTGCTAAATTTATCATGGGAATTCCATCAAAATGGCTATCAATACACCGATCTGCGTCGTATATTCTATCAACCGTCACGGAAAACACACATATGTCGAGGTTAAATGAAGACTGTTTATAAATAGAAGGGGAATTCCCATAGTTCGAGCGGTTGAATTTGAATCTTCGTGTCAGCAGTCTCGACATGAGCTGTGCAATGAAACCTTTCAGTCCATCATAAAGCAGCATGTTGAAAGAAATAACTGATTGTTGTTATAGACGACAGAATACTGGATGCTGAATACTCCATAACGGATACTGTAAACAACGCTATCGGCAGTATTTAACTGGTAAGTGCGGCGACATCTTGTTCCGGCTTGTATTTATATTAGGCCACCAGTTATTGTTGTCATCCTACACTGTTACGAGGCGATGAGCATCCCGTTTGAGTATGGATTCCAGTCTACTTATTCACCGCTAAACTTTATTTATTCCCTGGCGCATAAAGTAACGTTGGTATAGCGTTATGCATTTACAATTTACTGCTATACAATTGAATAATAAATATTGTAGTTGTTACGTCTTAACGAGAAGGTGATGTGATGTGAAATTGGGTTTAATATGGCGTTCCCTAAACAGGAAGACTCCAATCGGCGAGGTAAACGTGGTATTAAACGGGTTGGATTCGTTTAATATAAAGTTTCATTCGCTCAGATGAACATGGCTTTATTCCGGAAGGATTGGATACATTTTACAATACCAAAACATACAATCTCATTAAAATCAGATCTTAGTTCTAGCTACTGCTAAACAAAGATCTGAGGACATCCCATTACGGGTCACGTCCGACCGACCTTGCGCGAATTTTGACCGACCAATGGAATGACCAATCAGAAGGCAGCTTTCTCGTGCTTTACGGCACTAATTTCAAATTGGCGACTACGCTTCGAAACATATTTTGACAAATTTGAAACCTGAACAAAAAAACATTCTGGAATGGCTAATAGATGGTCTAGATTGTATGGATTCAGTCGTTAAACCCGTAACTATCGTTCGGAGTTAAAGTTTTCGAGGTTGCATGATAAGAAATCACATTCCCACTGTCACTTTCATAATCTGGTAAGCGATGCTCTGATTGGTCGGATGAGATAAACATGGTTTTATACAGAAAGGGTTGGATACATTTTTAATAATATAACCTACAGTAAACTACGGTTATAACGAACTCAAAGCGGCCACTTATTTTAGTCGTTATAGCCGTAGTTCGTTATAAGCATTTATACAGAATATATACAGCAAGCATACAGCAAATTGACGGGATCAAAACACATTTCGTTATATCCGTCAGTTCGTTATAAGCATGTTCGTTATAAACGTAGTTTACTGTATGTAAGATCTCTGTAGGTAGGGTTGGCCATCTTCTAAATGTGAGCAAGCGTGTTAGTTTTCCTTGGTCGGCATCTAGTTACTTGAATCCGGTGTCCACGAACATTAACATCCTGCCGAGAGCACTTCATGTACTGGCTCGGTGTTTCCTGTGTCTGTTTTCAACTATCGAGACGTTGGAACGTTAGTACAGTGCTTAGTCTGTGCTCTAAAACCAAGTGTTCTACTTCTGAACACTAGACAGAACACATGGATGTTACACAGTTAGAGCGAGTCAGTGATTTGGGTTTAACGCCGCTTTTTACATTATTCCAGTTTTATCGCGGCGTGTCAGCTTAATGTGGGGGGAAAGCCCGAAGTGATGCAGGTCTGAGACGTTTACCACTTCGGTGAAACCCACGAGCACGGGCATGGTGCTGACAAACCTAGAAACATAATCGGGGCGAACCGGGACTCGAACCCACAATCATAGGTTTCTGGCGTGCCCAAGGGACGCAACTCTGCATAGCGAATCGCGGCATTAGGTCTCTGATATACAACTATTTTTATTGTTATGTAGAGGTGGCTTGTATTGCCATGGGAACCAGCAGATAAAAAGAGGCTTTAATACTTAGTTTTATAAATTTGCATCGAATAGTAAAGAACAACGTTAGGATTCTTCTGAATGTAAGAAAATAAGAACTTAAATACTCACACACATTTCCTCCCTCCCCTCTTCCCATCTTCCCGAGGCAAGTGAGTTAACAGAGTATAAAAATCCAGTTTCCACCCTAGCCGAAATAGGCTGGTATTGTGGGGTTAAATTCTGGCTG